TTTCGTTATTGGTAAAAGTAAATTTGAAAGTGTTTCAATTGATTCTTTATTTCCTTCGTTAATTAATAAATTTATTAATTCATTATGAAATTCTGATGAATTTAATAAAATTTTTGATGAATATTCTAAATAATTCAAAAAAGAAATTTTTTTTTCTTACACTTATTTTGAATATGCTTAGAATTATACAAAACATATCGAATACAAGAAAAAAACAAATGTTTTGACATCATTCAACAAAAAAAAAAAAGGATATGTGCTAATCTCATAATGTTCATTGAATATAGTAGAAGACTATTGAGTAGGTTATAACCTTTTCAATATAATACACATCAATGCCAAGGAAATCATTCGAATAGGTAATATTATAATACCGATATTAGAAACATATATTACAATATTTATTTAAGGTTAAATTTCAATATGATATAAGAATACAATATTTTTATTTACCATTTATAGTAGATTGATTATCACCTTCAACTGGCATATTATCTAGAAAAAAGAATGACAAAGTTATTCAATAGTTTCATTTTTTTTTTTTTTGAGCGAATGTGTTAAAAATCCGAAAGGGCTTTTTTTTTTTGAAGACGAACGTAAATGCATAAGTATTATTTTAACTAAAAGAAAAAAAAATATTCACTCAAAACATTTTGAAACCTTTCATTGCATCTATGAAACTCGAATCAATCGATAATAGAATTACCTATTAAAAGTTTCTTTTTTTTCTTTTGATTGTTTTATGTTCATTAATGATAGACTATATAGATGAGCAACTTAAAACAAAAAAAAAAGAAAAAAGGTGTGAAGCTATTAAATCTCAATATCAATATCTTAATTCATTTACATTATGATCTATTGAAAAGGAAAGTATCATCGTAGTGAAAAAATAATATGAAAATTAATTATGTTATTAGACAATATTTAAAAAAAATTTTTTTTTTTTCATAAACTCGAGGTCGAATTCAATTTCTAAAAACCAAAAAAAAATCAAACAATACAATCCGTCTGGTCGCTTCTACTGACAATGAAAAATAAGCTCGAATATCAATTCTTATTACATACAGTTTGTATGTGTCTGCCATCAGTATATATATATAGTGTTCAGTTACATTATATCGGAGAAAAAAAAAACAAATAAATTATTATATATAGCATAGAGTGGCGTCCTACTATCCAATCGAGAAAGAATTCACAGGGGAGATATTCATTTTTATAGAGTCTTAGTACTAGATTTCTTACCAAAATCTTAAGATTTCAATATAATTGTAATCATCAAAAGAATATAAATATGCGAGACAAGAGTATTCCGGGCACAACTATGTATTACTATTTTTTACACATATATATATATATATATATATCCAGTATCAGTCAAGGCGAGGTCATCAACGGCAGCAATGTGAACACATAGTTAAGAATAGAAGAAAAGAAGAACGAACGTGCAAGTATACATATGCCTATAGAATAAACGGAACATATAGAAGCGATTATCTTTTGACGATGATGGTTAGAAAAAGAACAGACGAAACAAAAAAAAAAAAAAAAGAAGAATAAGGTTTCTTTCTGGTTGATCTGTGAAATCGAAGAAGGAAATCAAAAATGATATATTTATTAGTGACGACAATTGCTCTCTTTCTCTCTTATTACCAATTTATCAATCAATCAATCAACACATCACTGAATGATGTTGATATTTTGTCTAAAGACAAAACGTTCAATAAGATGATATGATCATCTTTATTAGTCTATTGTGATCAATAGAAATATAGTTAAAAATACAAAATAATTCACAATATGATAAGTGTTTTAAAATATGTAAATAAAGAATACTGTAATTCTTCAATGTTACCTCGATCGGTTACAAGAATAAAAGAAAAAAATTCCAATAGAAACAAATCTATGAAAATTTACTAAACAAAAAAAAAAGGTTAATTCTATTTAAATGGAAATTTATTAAGCGAGAAGAACAAAAAAAAGGAATATATATATAAACACATTTACATATAGAGAACATGAGAATTCAACAACTGGTTAAAAGCCGCAAAAATTTGGGTCAATAACGGCCATTATCATTTTTCTAGATGTCATACTATAACCAATCAAAAATCAATCATCATCTCTAGAGCTTTAATATTATATTTTCATTTTAATCTATTAATATTATTTTTTTATTTCGAAACATAATCTTTATAAACATGATTTCAAGTCATAATTTTTATTTTATAGATGTCGCTAGTTGCTATTATTACACTTACATTGCTATAAAAAGAACAACTTAAAATGATGCTATTGTTTCATTTTTGTATGAATTTTTAATCATTTGCTGATGATAAATTGAGTGTTCTATTGTTTTTTTTTTTTTTGGCTTAATAGTATTCTATGTTCGTTGATTGCTTTTTGTTTCAAATAAAGTTATATATGACAAGCTGTTGCACCATCATTTTTTATGTATGCAAGAAAGATTTATTAGAGTCTACTGTCAAAAAGAGATGAAATAATAGAAAAAAAGAAAAATATCAATCTATAATAAAATATTTGATAACTTCTGAATGCAATAAAAAAAAAAGAAGGAAAAGATATTTGTAATTCAGTCAATTATTTACTAATATTTGTCGACATAAATAGATTTATGATTTTAAAAGCATCAATAAAAATTATCTAAAGAAATTTTCAAACATTAAGATTAGAATTTGTTTAGATCTATTTTTAACATTTAAATTCAATGTATTAAACTGTAATTAAGAAAAAAACACACAGGTGAGATTTAAGATTATTTTTAAAAATTATTATGTGAAATGTTTTATAACTTGAAAAAAAAGTATTCTTTTCTTATAAAGATATTCTACTTCGATAAACATAATGCTTGTTATGACTCTTTTTTTTTTGTTGTTGTAGCTCTGCATGACTTCAATTTTTTTGTGCGGAAGTGTAATTAAATAGTAAATAATTTGGCATTCTTATGTGTGTGTATAAGGACAGTAACATGCTATCAAAATCGTTATTTTTGTTTTCTTTTTATCTTGGTGCACATTGGTATTATCAACATCAAACAATGGCATCGTTGAATTTGAATAGTACAGAAACAACAAACATTGATCCAACAACAATTGGTATAAGTGATAATCATTCAGTATTTGTGGTTGTTTTATTTATCATGTGTCTATTTGTTCCAAGTTTTGGTTGTACTATATTCTTATTGTTTCACATTGGTCGATTACATGTACGACATTGATTTTCGTTGTATATTAATATTCAATAAAAAACAAAAAAGAAAGAAACTATAACGTTTTTCTTTTTGTAATTCAGTTTTTTTTTGTCGTTTAGAATAGAAAGAAGAAGAAGAAGAAAAAAAACCTATATTAAATAACATGTTTCAATTTCAAATATAATTGCAAATAGTAGATGAGAAGGTCAAGATATTTTAAAATATACTTTTATATAATTATGAATTTCCTAGTGGAGAAGAAAATAGAATATTTGACAATGTCATGAAATACGGTCATTATGTATTACGAAAAAAAAAAAACACAAATTACATCAATACTTTAAGAAATGTAATTAATGAATAGTCATGAATATTTAATGGAGAAATATGACGATGATTATCATTAATCGGAAGCTTTTTAGATTTTAGTTTTTCATTTCCCATGAAATCTATGAGTAGAACTCTTTAAGACTAAGAATAGTTTAAATTGGATTTGAGTTTATGATCTACTAATATCACCATATCTTTCTTTAGAGATATTCATTTTTCAAGTAAATCTAATTGCTGTATCCTTAAATGGCAATGCACTATTTTTCGAAGAAATTCACATATTCATTGTCGGTAAAACTTGCAAGATTACGTAATGACTATCAAATATGCTTATAGGCAACATTTCAGTTTAAAACTTTTTGTTTTGGATTTTTCAAAACTGTCTTGCTTATAATTAAATTATATAACTCTTCATCAGTAGGCTTTAGATCTGAATCCATTTTAAACTGTTGTTTAACAAATCAAAAGTTTTCACTTACGAGGAAACCTCGTCAAGTATTAATCACTGATCGAGCTCATATTTGTAAGATTCGATGAGACTAGCAGAAACCCAAAAGGATTCGTCCCTATACGTTGTCATTTCGGAGTTACGATCGTTTTACTGATTTTTCGACTTGTGGCAATGATATTTATAGAGAAGTCCAACAATGAAATTTTGACCTGAGATTTTGTCTATAAACAGGTCTCATGATTACTAGAATGTCCTAAAAGTTTTAGCTAAAATGAATGTTTCTTTCTCAAGATATTGAATTTTCAAGGAACGATCATATTTCAAAGGTAAAGGTAAAAAAATCGAGCTTCTTGGAAACTCAGTATCTTGAGAAAAAAACGTTCATTTTAGCTGAAAATTTTAAGACATTCTAGTGACCATGAGAACTGTTTATGGACAAAATTTCAGGTCAAAATTATTTTGTTGGGCTTCTCTATAAATATCATTGTCAGAGGTCGAAAACCTAATAAAATGGCCGTAACTCCGAAAGGATAGCATATGGAGATGAATCTTTCCAGGCTTCTGCTAGTCTCATCGAATCTTACTTATGAGCAAAATATGAGCTCGATCGTCGATTAACACTTGAAGAAGTTTTCTCTTTAGTTGAAAAGAGTATATTATGTTAATAGCAACAAAATTCATCAAGCCAACAATAACATCAAAAACTTCAACTATATGAAATCAGTAGAGATTTAACATAAAATAAGAGATTATGTTATCTTTTAAATGATAACATTCATTCGATCAAAATACATATATATATATTCGATACTATCGATGACGAACTTGTAATATTTATTTTTTCAACAAAACTTGAATATGATAAAAATTACTTTCTATATTCAGTCAAAAATTTATCATAAATCTTTTCTATTGCTTTATGTAGAAGTTTTCATAATGGTATACATTTATAGACAAAAAAAGCAAGATGAAAATATCTATATGCAAATAGCCAAGAAAATCTTTTTCTTTTTAATGAATTCGTTCGATAAATCGTGCTGGAATGTGAAGTTGTAACATAAGTTGTGGTTGTTTTACAAGACTAGTTCGATCCGAAAGACAATTTAAAAAATAATTCCAAGTTATTTCACTTAGATTAAGTACACGACTATGCATTTTATACAATGTTGTTATTCGTGTTTCATTAGTATGATCATTTCGAGTTGAATCTTGTATAACACCACCATGTGACCAAATTTCACCACGCTAAAATTTTAAAAATTAAATAATATTTTGAATCAAAATTATATTACTTCATTTATTGCAGCAGCATGAAAATAAGTTGATTTTATCATATTTAATGATTGTAACATAGACCATTCTAATTTTTCAAAATTAAATATCCATAAATTTCCACTTGTAGAAACATGATGACCTGTTGTTTGATCAAAATAAGCACCACCAAACATAATTATTTGATGTTTATGAAAAGGAAATATTGAATGAAATTTTCTTGCTTGAGGAAAATCTATATTTTAATAAAATATATAGAATTGAATATATCTCGAAAAAGGAAGATGCTTTTTCGAATTACAACTTTATTTTACTAATACTCTTTTTTTGTTTTTCATCTATACAAAACATATATTTATAGATAGATTATATTAATAAGACAAATCGAACAAAGTAATAAATCACTTTTTTTGCAATGAGTTTCACTTGATTAAGAAAAGTCTAATATAACTCTAACTCAAGAAGAATAATAGATAAGCACGAAGTCTTTTATGTTTTCTCTAATTTCATTAGAACTAATCTATTGATATGTCGAATTCATCTCAAATATGATTTATTATTTGATGATAGCATCTCATAAGAAAATACCAATCATATTGATTCCAAAAATGACGTCAAATTAACACATTCATTCTAAAAAAATATTCAGACTCTAACACCTAATAAACTCATAATTTCACAATACAATCATCTAGAATCAAAGAGTTTAATGGCTCTTACAAAAGAAAGTTTTCAAGTGTGACTAGCAGCATATCAAATATATATATATATACTCACTATGCATAGGATCTGGATTTGTATGAACAAATGACCATGTTTGTGTCGTAAGATCAAATGCTGGTAACTAAAAAAACAAAAAATTCTAGTTTCAATAAATAAAAATTCATAAATATTTTTTCATAGACATACATTTTCAAGTGAGAAAGATGTACCAGAACTTCCACCACCACCAAATAAAAATATTTTATTATCATATAAATAAATTTCTTGTCGATATCTTAAATTAATTTAAACTAAAATTTAATTTCTATTTCAAAAATTTTTCTTACCTTCCATTTTCATTAAATTCTTCAATTTCATCAAATGTATATCCTATTTGTGTACATTCTAATGTTGGTAAATAAATATCATATACATTTGTATTATAACTCCATCGATTTGTACCACATAATATATATAAATGATTATTTTTTATAATCATACTCTATTAAAAAAGAAAAGTTTAATTTTTATAAATTAATACAAAATAAAATTCGATCGAATACAAAAAAAATTTTTGTTTTTTTTTGAATTCTACTTACAGCTCCATAAACTTGTTCCGGTTGTTGATTACGTAATTGACATCGAGTCCAATGACATCGTTTTAAATCAAGTATAAATAATTCATTAGAAACATTTTGACCAAATGGATATCCTGTACCACCGAAAACAAATACTAAATTACGATATAAACACACTAGAATATAAAGAGAAAAACAGACATAATTAATTAAATAGAAAAATTAAAATCAATATTATAAGTTTACTTGAATGTGAAGCAAGTGTTAAATTGGGTCCTTCACCTGTTGGTATTTCAAGTGTCCATTGTCGAAGTGCATAATTAAAACGCCAAAGCTAAAACAAATAAAATAAAATAAAATCGACAAAAAATATTTATCATACCTCATTAAACATACATTCTTGTGGATTAGTAGTTGATGGATAATAACCACCCCATATCCAAAAATCAGATGCCGTAGCAACAGCACGATGACCTGAACGAGGATGTGGTTTATTTATAGGATTTAATGGTAAAATTTCAACAAATTGCATTAAATTAATTGATGAAATATATCGTATTGATAAATAAAAATTTCGTTTTGATCGTTTTGTATGTATTGTATCATCTGTTTTAGATGATTCAATAGATTCTCTTGAATTTTTTTGATTTGTTGCGGGATCGTTAGCCATTATAATCAACAAAAATAACAAACAAATAATAACATTCGTAAAAAATAAAATAAATTGAAATAACTATGCAACTAAAAATAAACAAGATAAAAAAAATAATTTTAACTTTTATTAATTAATAAAAAAAATAACGTTTTTTAAACAAATGATGTATGATTTTGGACATCAATATGAATGAGCGCAAAGTCCTTATCGCACGTTTTCATATGATATGTGTTGACAAAATTTTGTAACATGAAAGGAAAAAAAAAAATATTATTGCTACGTCAATATTCTATGCTGCTTGTGTTTATCACAAAAAAACAAAAGAAAGAAATTTCAATTTTGCCTAGACAAAATTAGAACTTCAATATTGACTAGACAAATTTTAAAGTTTATATATATCCATATAATATATTGAAGGAAATTTCTCAATAATTTCAAAATTTGCTAGTGACTCATAGTGTCTGGGTATTTTTTTGTTTCATTATATTCATATAATATACATATGAGAAAGAATTCTAACAATACTAAAATTTCGTGAAAATGATGCATTTGGGAAGAGTTCGTTTTCGATTACTTCGATGATAATAATGATAATTTTTGAATTTTACAATTGATAGAGTATTGGATAATTTGCAAAGGAAATTTTTTTGGTTTTTGGAAGTGTAAACACTGCTAACCTAGAGAACAAAGCTTGCGATATATTCTAATGAACTTATTCGCTAATCGAACTACGATAAAAAAAATCTAATATGATCTATATCATACCTGTCAAAATAGCCAAATAAATTGAGTAATAATTAGGTTGTAAATTTTCAAAGAAAAAAAAAGAAAACACAAAAATCTAAAACATAATATAACGAAACAACAATTGTGATAAATAAATTTTATTCAAATGTTTCATTGGTATAACCAGAAGCTATACCAGATTTTCCTTCTTTAAGTTCTGATATAGATTTATTAGAATCTTTATCTTCATTAATATTATTAGTTATTTGTAAACCCCACCAAGTTTGACTTTGATCAAAATTTCGATTTGAACCATCATGTTGTTGTAATAAAAGAGCATTTGGATGTTTAACTACTAAAACATTATTTTCTTCATTTTGATTTATTTCATTTTCATCAATAATTTTTATTATTGATAATATTTGTCTTAAATCAAATGAATAATTTATTGATAGATTTTCATTATTATCATTTTCAAATGCTTGTATTATATCATTTATACTAATTAATGGTATATTAAATTGTTTATATTCAGGTGAAAGCCATAAACTTTCTGTACATGATGAACAAAGAACATAAACATCAATATTTCTTTCAAAATTATTCATTTTTGGTATTGATAATGTATTCATGAGAAATGTATAATATTGACGATTATGTTTATCAAATAATTTTTTTATATGATCAAGTAATGTATGAATTGTTGATGGTAAATTTAATAAAGAATTTGATGATATAAGTAAACCATAGGATGAACCATTTCGTGCACATTCTATTGCATACATACGTTTACTTAATAATCTTTTACTTGATATAGAAGAATCTGATGGAAATGAACTGAAGACAAACAAAAAAAAAAGACAATGATGAATATTATTCTTTGAACTTTTTTTTTTTTTTTTTTCATTACCGAAAATCATAAGCATAGAAATAAAGAGCAAAATTGTGTAATGAAGCTTTTGAATGAGATATGAAAATAATTGAATAATTCAATGGATCAAGTGGAACAGGTAATTGTATTGAACGACCATATAGTGAAAAATATAAAGGATCAGAAGAATTTTGTGAATTTATTTTTGAGAAAATCAAACAAGAAGATGATGATGATGATGATGTTGAATATTGTTCTATAGCATCACGATAACATGGATCATAGAAAACAAGATAATAAGGTTTATTATTATCATGATTTGTTACGAGAAAATTTGATGCATCTTCCCTAATAAATAAATAAAAAACATAATTTATTGATTTTACAATAACATATCATATTGATATAATTCAATAAAAATTCAGTCTTGAGATTTTCATTTCTGATTTTAAATTATGCACTGAATTATGTTATTTGCAAAGTTTATATGTTACAATCAATGTTCAATAGGAATTCATGATTTAATTCTAAACCATAAGTTAGATATGCTCGAGACTTCTAGTTCATCAGAAAAGTTTTACTGAATTCGAAAAGGGAGATACACTACCGAGTTTTATCATTGAGAAGTATTCAAAATTATTTTTGACCACAGAAATCATCAATAATTATTTCAACATTTAAAAATTGAGTTCAATTATTAGTATAATTAATATCAAGATTATTTTTAAACATTCACATATTTCTTGTCTATAGATAATTTCATCTTATTAGTTATTTTTAAAAATTTTTATAAATTCTATTGATCAAAAGTATAATCAAATAAATTGCTTAATCCGTAAATGAACTATTTGGAAATTTTTATTTAAATAAAATTTTAAATAATTATTAAAAACATACGGTAATGATTGTTGATAGAAAACATAGAATATAGAAATTGTTTGTTGAGTATTATCAAAACATGATGAAAGACATGAATGTCCAAAATGAATTAAACCTTGTGCTTGACAATATTGAGCATTTAATAAATCATTACAACATGGTGAACAACCATCACCAACAAGATATATTTCAATATCTCGATTATGAATAGATAATCTTAATATATCTATTAAATCTTGTACTTTATCAAGATCTTCATCAGGTACTTGTAATGCAATAATATTAAAATTATTTTCTTCAATCCATTTTATACAAGAATTAATTTCAAATTTATCCATCTGAAATACATATTGAATAAGGAATAGACTTACATTTTTTTCTTTTTTTTTATTTATTTATTTGTTTGTTTTTTTATTGTCTGTTTTATTTGTTTCATATACAAAAAAAAGAAAATCATGAGCTATCTACGAATGATTTGAACAAAGACAAAACAAGAAGAATAATGAATTTTACGGCAAAGAAAAATTTTAATGTTTGTCTTTGATCTGACTTTTACAATAAAAAGAAAAAAAAAAATATTTATTTATTTATTTATTATTCCATTGTTGAGATGATGATGATGATGATGAGGATGAAGTCGATGGTCGAGGCCGTTTATTAGCATTATTAGGATCATAAGCTGGATCATAAGGACGTTTTTCACCACCACCAAGATGCATTAATGATGGTGGATGATTATGACCATATGGTGGTTGTTGAGGATAAGGATTTGATGGTGGTGGAACATTATTATAATGACTACTACGTTGTTGTGAACCATAGGGTGGTCGATTTGATGAAGATGATGATGCTGTTGGTGGTGGTAATGGTGGAGGAGGATGATCATATGGATGAGAAGGTGGTGGAGGTTTACGATCAACATCTAAATGAACAAATAAAGAAAAATACTATTAGTAAAATTCCTACGGGATTAAAATTTGAAATACAATGTAATTGTTACTGCTAATCATAGAGAGTTTATTTTATTCTATCTATTTCGAATCATTATTATTCTATTTAATCTTCGAAAATGCAATACAGAAGTGTTTCATATATATGATAACAGGATGTTATTCGCATACGGTCACTAGAGTTCATCATATCCAAAGTTTTCGGATTCATAGTTTGATCCTGTCAATGAAATTTTCCAATCGAAATCGCGTAATCATCTCGAGGATACAAGATATTTTTTGTTCGATTCATCGTATTCAGTGACTAGCACATCCTACACATTTCTCAGACTAGTATAGTCCATTGAATTCAAAGGTTCTAGAAAATTAATAGATCCAAGGCTAAGTCAACGTGCTCTATCTGTCACGGGCTCCGGTGATTCCTGACTAATGTCTATGACCGAGTGGGAGTAGTTTTGAATCCTTAGATCGTGTTTCAAAAGAAAATAATTAAAACCGTAAAACTGAATATTTACTATGTTGAGTAGGTGGAAGTGGTGGTGGTTGTGACGAACGATTTGGATGTGGTTGTTGTTGTTGTTGTTGTGGTGGTGGTGGTAGTGATCCAGGACGTGCTTGTTGTGGTGGATAACGAGAATGTTGATTATAAATATTATTTGTTTGATGCTGAGTTTGATAATGAGAAGATGTTGGATGTTGAAATGATGGTGGCCGAGATGATGATGATGATGACGATGGATTATGTGGTGGCATTGGTGGACGATTTGATGATGAAAATGATGGAGCTGCTGATGGTTCTCGTTTTATAGGCATAGATGATGATTGAGATTGAGAAGGAGGAAGTTGTGGCTGTGATGGTGGTTGAATAGGTCGATTTGTTTGTAATGATGTTTGATTTTGTCGATGTTCAATTCTATCACGAGTAGCACCTTGTGGTACAACACTGTCACTTATATCTGTTACACGTGGTAGAACATTACTTGCTGATGGATGATGCTGAGATGATGATGATGATGATGATGTACCATCATTTGATGTTGATTGTGGCTATTGTAAAAAGAAAAATTAATTTAAAGAAAAAAACAAAATAAAACAAACTCTTTCGTTTTGATATACAAGTTTTCGTTTGATTTTATCTGGACATTTTTCATATATAGCAAGAAATTCATCAGCAAGATCTGAAAAAAATAAAAATAATTATTTTTGTTTTTTTTTTCTATATTTATTGAAATAATTATTTTATTTACCTCCAAGTTGTTTTTCAGTAAATGATTCATTAACAAGATGAAACCAACGTTTATTTGATGTATTTTCTGTTGTTGTACTATCAGATCCATTTCGAGGTGTTGTTATTGGTGCTGGTGAAGGAATCTATATAATAATATATTTATTAATAATTTTTTTTTTGAAATAGATAATATTATTTTTATATTTACTTCAATTTTAAGCCAAGCAGCAGCCAAATGTATACAAAAACATGCAATAAGATCAGGTGGATATTTGACACAAAATGATGTGAGTAAAATACTAGAAGAAAGGATTAGGTGAATATGTGTGTTTGTTCACAACAAAATCACCACCTTTTTGTTGCTAAATAATAAGCCGTCTGAGCAAGTTCACGAGGTGCTAAAACAAAAAAAAATTAAAATTAATATTTTCATCATATATATAAATTTATAATTAGTCTTACTTTTTTCTGGTAACGACTGTATTTGACCTAGAAATAGATTACAAACATTTAATGATAAAAACTATTAGATTACATGAATTTCGATTCGATAGGAAATTTTAGTTGATATCATTCCATTTTTTAAGAGATTCTTATATGATCTCAAGTTCTTTTTAATACAATAGTTTTTTTGAATTTTATCTTAAAACTACCTTCACTTACATATTTAAGAATTTTTCGACTTCGCACTTCCGACCTTTGAACTTTTCAAAAACTCAATGATTTTTCAAAGGTATTGCGCAATACAAAAATATTTTAAAACGCTCCTATCTCCGAAATACGAAAGCTAAAAATTTTTAAACTTTATAGTGGAGCTTGTTTCAGAACAAAATTCAACAAGATAATTCTACGGAAAAATCTGAAGCTCTCGACAGAAATCTCTTGGAAATAGACATATTAAAAGTTCAATAATTTCGCTTTAGTTTGCAAGAAAGTTCCCCACCGTGATGCATCGCTCATTATCTAGCTTCTGTTGAGACTAAAAAAAAACCATAAAATTGATTCATAGCTCTTGGTCTTCATTCTTAAGTTCAAAACATATTACTTAATTTTTGCCCACTGAGAAGTCTAATACTAACTAGAACGCAGCGAATATTTCATTGAAAATGAGCGTTCGTTCCCGAAATAATAGGACTTTTTTTAAAAAGTATATATTTTATTGAACAGTCGAAAAACGTCGAATTTTTGAAAGTCCATTATCACTGATATGAAACGTTCGTTGTATTCTACTCAGCATTAGACTTTTTAATGGATTAAAATTGTTCGAACTCATCGAATCCAAAAATTTTAGATTCAATGCGATTAACTGATTTCACTGAGAGAATCAAAATACGAATTCTAGCGAAGATCCATAGATCACTCAATAATATTTCTAGTCTCAAAAGTAGTTAAATAATAAAGTGAAATCTCACTTCAAAAGCGGCTTATCACCTTACAAGATGCTCTCATTATTAAAAAACCTAAATCCTTTTTAAGTTATTATTAGAAGCCTTCGAGTTAATTGAAAATTTTTTTCCACTATCGAAAAAATATTTACTTCCAAGTGCTTGAATTGTTTTAATAATAATTGAATGTGGATGATCAACCATTAATGAAAATCCTATAAAGAAAAAAACAAAAAGAATATATATATATATATTTTTTTTGAAATTTGTTTGAATAGTTGATATTTACCCAATGTTGAAAGGAGAATATTTTCATGTAAAACAATATCATCAGCATATTGTTCAATCATCTAAACATAGTTCCTTTTTTCTTTTTTTTTTGTTTCTTTCATTTAATTAATATTACTTCTTTTGTAAGTTCTTCAGTTTTCTTTTTTCGTAATACTTTTCCTGTATTCTCAATAACATCCCGTAATGTACGAGGAAATTCTTCGACTTTACATGCAAGAAACAATGAAGCCGCACATATTCTCTAATAAAAATAAAATAAAACATGTATTGATTAAATTATAGTTTTTTTTTCAATTTACTTGACGTGTAAATCGTTGAAATGAATTAATCATATAAAAACGATGCATATAAACAACAGCTGTATTAATACAATAATGTGGTCTTAAAAAAAACAATAAAACAAAATAAATAAATTTTTCTTAATAATAATAAGATACATACACTTTAAGATTGGTACCTAATTCATATATAAAAACAGCTGCTTGTTGTCTTAAAGCTAATTCTTCTTCAGGTGATATTCCATTTCGATTAGATGGTGTTGAAGTAAATTTATCGGCTGAAAATATCCAATTAAATCTTGCTTTTGGTAAAGCTGGACCGGATGATATATTCGTTGATGTTGTTTGCATTTTAATTGTTTAACAAACTTGATGAATAAAGAAAGAATGTCTATAGAGCAAAAGAATCATTGGGAAAGAATATGAATCAGATCATTTATAGAAAAAGCAACAATCAATTTGTTTTAAAACATTGATTGTAGCGAAAAATTCTTTGTTTTAGAGGATCAATAATAACTATATAAATATGGTTGGAAAGATTTTTTATTCGTTATAATTGAAACAAATCGAATATAAGAGAAGATTTACATTCATTCATTTATTTGACAGATATTACAAAATAATTATTCATGTTGTTCGAATGAATGATGTATAGATTGGATTTTTAAAATTACTCAATAAAATTCGTCTATTACATTTAGATGAAAATTGTCTATTCATATTAGACAAAAAAATAAAAAAAACATGTAAAATGAATTTTCAAAGAATAGAAAAAAGAAGTCTTTTGTCATTTTTTCTACTTGTCAATCAAAAAAAATTCAATAGTTGATAAAAAACAAATATTCATATTAAGACTAATGAAATCATTAAAAGTAATAGAAATCAAAAGTTAGGTTTTAGCTAAAATAACTAATAATATCAAAACAATCGAATAACACAAAAAGTACGTTCTATATTTACTATTTTCAATATTCTAGAACGATTAGATTGTTATTTGAAACTAGGATCAATATTTTAACCAACGAAGGAGTAATAGTGTGCATTCAAGCGAACATTAGGTGACAAAAAGGAAGTCACTCTGTCATTGATTCACATATGATAAATACATTTTGAGATATGCTACACATCTAATAGCGTATTTTATTTTTTGTCAGAAGTATTAAGTAGAGTGAAGGAGCTGTAATTCATAAATTAGCTTGGAAATATTCATCTTGACGAGAAAATCAATTTTTGGACAAAATTAAACTATATGGTAGGTATGCTCAGTAGATATTCGAAAGGTGCATACCCTCTGATATCTCTCATTGAAGAAATATTTTAATTCAAACGTATAGTTTTTGAGAAAAAAAAATTTGTTTCTGAAATGATTTTCAAGATACTTAAGCACAGTAAAGCGAACACACGCTAATCCTAATGCGTTCAAACTGTCAAAGGATTTTATTTTGTATCCTCTCTGATTTTTAGTTAGTATAAATGCTCTAGAATTATAAAGCGGATTTTTCACAAAGCCTTAGATTTTCTATTAAGCGTCTTTTTTTTTCCGACTCTAGAACATTTCGATTAAACATTAATGATATATTTGAAAGTTGTACACGAAACTACATCGGATGATATATGGCATAAGACATTTTCTAATCAAAAAAATTTCTGGGAAAAAATGTAGGCAAGTGTTTTCCTGTCAGGGATTTTTTTGTCAAATCTGTTTCTTTCTTAAAAATAATTTTATGAGTGATTTACAATTAACGATATCTCTTTCTGAAAATCTCCAATTACTATACAGAAAATACACATTGTAAGAGACGGTGACTCTTTGAATGTCACGTTGGTTGTTCTGTGTGTCTGTGGCTCCGAAAAATACTTGTTTGTCTTTTGGAAGAAAAAAATCTAGATAAAACATTGATTAGGATTTTTACGATGAACATACAGAGTTTTATCATAATATCATATATTTATAATAATTTTGTTAGATTAACTGCTACATATGTAGTTTGTAGAAAATAATATAATTAGCGAATTATAACATGAATGCTTTTTAAATTATTTAAGAAAATTTTAATTGTAAAGTGTTTCATTGATTTTTATGAATTCAGATGAGTTATTTAAAAGTCTTACGAGGGAACTTCTCCAAGTGTTAATCGCCGATCGAGCTTATATTTTACTCATAAGTTAGACTTGATGAGACTAGCAGAAGCCTAGAAGGATTCGTCCCTATACGCTGTCCTTTCAGAGTTACGATAGTTTTACTGGTTTTTCGACCTCTGGCAATGATATTTATAGAGAAGCCCAACAATGGAATTTTGACCTGAAATTGTTTCTATAAACAGGTCTCATGATTACTAGAATGTTTTAAAAGTTTCAGCTAAAATGAATGTTTCTTTCTCAAGATATTGAATTTTCAAGGAATGATCGTATTTCAAAGGCAAAGTCAAAAAAACGAGCTTCTTGGAAACTCAGTATCTTGAGAAAAAAACGTTCATTTTAGCCGAAACTTTTAAGCCATTCTAATGACCATGAAAACTGTTTATGGACAAAATTTCAGGTGAAAATTATATTGTTGGACTTTTCTATAAATACCATTGTCAGAGGTCGAAAAGCTAGTAAAATGGTCGTAATTCCGAAAGGATAGCGTATGGGAACGAATCTTTCCAGGCTTCTGCTAGTCTCATCGAATCTTACTTATGGGCAAAATATGAGCTCGATCGGCGATTAACACTTGAAGAAGTTCCCTCGTTAGAAAGTTCGACAGTATAATATAGAAAAATGCTTGTAAAAATAAAATACATTTCCCGCAAGACTTTTTAATTTTTGATGAATAGATATTAAAATTTCTCGTTATTAGCAGCTTTTTCTTTGCTCTATTCATGTTGCAGATATATTATAGAACTTTTAGAAAAGATTACGTTTGACTGCAATTATCTAAAGCAAAATATATATCTATATTTTGCGAGTAAAGAAACAGTCGGACTCAAATTTTTACCATATCGAGATCATCAAAACTGATGGAATTCATATTCGAGGAAATAATTTCAAAAGTAGATCTCTAGAAGTTTCCCAAGAACATTTTCTTCGGTTGATGCCTCTAGTATTTTATTAATTAAAAACTAATATATTGATATTTTTGAAAAACCTTGAAAACACCTACGAAACTTTGTCGCAGATATCTTCAGAAGAAAGTTCAACCTGATCGGACAAAGTAAGGCCGGGATTGTAAGAAGGCTCAATCGTTTTTTGAAGATCTACATTTTATATTTTTTCTCGAACATGTGTCTCATAGTATTAAATAATCTAGCTGTGGTAAAAATTGGAATACGAACGGTTGTACTCTGATGCAAAACTAGAAGTAGATCAAAAGTGGAAAGATACTCTTAAATTTTCTACTAAGCTCTACTGATAACAATCATCATCAAAAACATACATCATCATAATGGCAAATCTTGGATTGTTCTCGTTTTATAAGAGTTCTATGTTGATGAAACTGAACAGAGTCAATAGTAATAACAATATATTGATCTTTCTTTGCTAGTTGTAGTTGTGTTATAGCCATTCTGATGCATACGAGATGAATCGAAATCGTTGCAACAACAGTATATCTTGGCACAGATCAATCATTAAATCTTGAATTTCATTAATGAAAGATGCATCGTTGAATTCTCCACAAACTCCTATTTATTATAGTGTGAAATAAAGAAGTTAAACGCTGTTGTAGACTATCTTGTATGATTGTATGAACCACATCTACCTTCTCTACACCTAGTTTTCAAGAATTTTTTTTCTTCTCATACGAACATATTTTTAGTTTTTGGAAGAGATCTACTACTAGATAAGTCTTGAAAGCCTCTATTAATTGTACATATATACTAAATTTTCTAACATTGATTATTATTTTTTTTTGATTTGATAGCATTTTCTACTACGTCATTTCTTTTTATACAATGGCAATATTTTCGACGTGGATTATTTATTTTTGTTTTTTTTTAATAGAAGCATCATGGAAGTCTTATATGTAACAAAAATGCGTTTATTTTTTCATCATTTTTTGAAATTGGATTTTTCTTTTTACTGGGAATTGAAAATAATACATTATATTAAATGCTTTCACCAGAATAAGACCGTGAATCCTATTTAAATATAAAAAATAATCTCTGTTTTTATCGGTTGCGTATAACTTGGAAAAAAAATCTGAAACAACATAATTAAAGGTTATAAGAACATTATATCCTCAGCTAAAGTCTCACTCTTAGTCTTGTTACAACTTACTAGAATAAAACAATGAGATTTTTGAGTTCTAGTACTATAGAGAATTCAATGACACATGTTTTTAAAAAAGTCCAGAGTTTATTATCGATCTACTCTGAAAATTTCCAAAAGAATACGTCTATTAAAATTAGCGACGAAATTCAGCTTTGAAAGGATATCCTTATCTTAATTAAAAACTCTTAGAATATTTCAAAAATGATTAAATCTATATACTATTAAAAATGAAAAATCTTTTTATTTCACTAGACAAGTAATACCTGATTCTTCTGACAAAATTATCTCAATTTGAGAAAAAATCTTTATCGTTTTTTTTAGTCTCATCAAAACCTAATAATGTAATTTACAAAAAACCATTAAAGAAAAATGATTTTTTTAACATCTATGATTAAATCAATGTATATATCATTACTATATTTGACGACTCTCCATGTAGTATATATGTGCATAGAACAATAGTACTAAGAAATCGTTATAGACTTGTGCAATAGTTTCTATTTATGCATCGTTCACTGTTGTTAGTATTGTTTATTTTTTTGCATGATATACGCGTCGACTACATATACGAGAACATTGCATATCAATACAGACAAAAGCCTCGTTTTTTTTTCTTATGTTTCTTTTTTATGCCTACATCCTGACATAAAAACTTCTAGTAGACAAACACAACAAGAAGTCGTGAAGAAAAGAAATAACTAATGAACAAAAATTAATATTTTTTTTTTATGCTGTCTAGGAAAGAAAAGATGAAATAACAGAATAAAAATACTGCTAAAGTCTGTTTTATATTTCTTCTTTTTTGTTCTCTGTCCCTCATTCATCATATTTAAAAGTACAAAAACAAGTAAATAATTTCAATATTCAACAATCATGCTTATTGTTTTTCTGTTTTTATTACATTCAACCTTCTTAATTTATAGGTTTATTCATTTTAACAGCCGAAAAAAAAACACACACACACACACATCAAGGTTAGTTTCTTCTTATGGTATGAATTACAAATCAAACAAACATCATTTTATTCTATGACGAAAAAACAAAATATCAAAAAAAAAAAAATAATGACATCGTTAAAAATTGTTCGAAATTATATTAACATTAGACATACACACTTACTATTCGAAGATATGGATTAAGGTAGTTACAATAATTAGTTCAATAAGAAAACTAGATTTCATTTCAAGCACAAAGTTTATACTCATACAAAATTCAACAACTATTTCCTTTCACATCTAAATATGTGACCTAGAGGATTGTTTTTTTTTTTCTGCAAATCAAAGATGTGAACTATAGAAGAGATTAATGATTGTGCTAATTAAAAATTCTCGTCTCAGATACATATTAATAATGTAATTAACGAGAATGACATATATCCTGGAGTCAAAAGATATTAGTTTATGATGCTTAAATTAAAGATTTTTTTTTTAGAGTATTCTAACTCTATGCATTTCTAGTTTAGAGTTACGATCGACTTTTCTTAAATTTTCTAGGAAATTTTAATTGTTGGAATTTGCTCTGTGTTGTTTTGTTATACTTTTGTCTAAAACACTATATGCACTTTAACATACGATTAAATTTCACCTTCAATCTTCATATAAAAAAAAGCTATCTAAAGAATGTTAAAAATAAGCAAATAAAAAATAAAACGAACACAATGGATAGTAAGCATGAATTATTTGCTTTTTGATAATATCTCATAGCCACACTAAAAGATAGTAATCGTATATCAACAAACTCTTAGTTTTATTCAACATTTTCGGCTTATCAATACGTAAGTTATTAATCATAATCAAGTATTTAATATGTCAAAGTATTTTTGTTTTATGGATATAAATATATATATACAGTAAATATGTTTTTCTTTTTTAGAATAGTGAATTTTTGATAATGTCTGTCTACATTCTTGTTTCGACAATCAATGAGCTTTTTTTTTTCTTGTCATTCTGTTTCTACTGAAATATTTGCTTTGTTTCTCTTCACTTTACATTAGGCTAGAGAACGACAAAAAAAAAAAATACTACGATAGTAATAGCAGCATACAAATAGTCGCTCGTTCTTTCGTATTTTTACTAGAAGGTCGTTAATGTGTATGGGTGTCTGTGTGTGTGAAGAGAAAAAGATTGCGGTTACTTCTTTTTGTCGATCTGCGGTTTTTTTTTCTCGTAGTGCAATTTGTACTTATCAAGAAATTTTCTATTTGCATAAACAAGTTTTTCATCGAGTTAATATTCAATCACAATATTAGTTAAATTTATTATCGATATTATCTAAATTATTGATCAATTTTAAAGCACTTACAAATTGTAATTTAGGTCATTTTCACAAAATATTTGTTCATTCAAATTTTCTTTTTTTTAGAATTTATTTTATTTAATTGATTATAATATATAAACATCAAAGATATTATTTAGAAATACAAAAACACAAAAAAAAAAAAAAATTATTAAAAATAAAATTTCTCAAGAAAGTATTTTATGATAATTGATTGTACTATATTTTTATTTCAATAAAAAAAAAACTCAAATAATAATAATATTAAAGCAAGCATGTAGATATAATTTAATCAATGAAATTATTTATTATTATTTAAGAATATGTTAGAAAATATATGAAAATTTTTTTATACATATAGAAATTATATTGATAAATTAAATAAAATTATTAATGTTTAGTATTCTATCAGGTGAGTAATATAATAGAATTTTGTTAGAAAAATAATCTTTTTTCTTTTTTTAACTACTTAACAAAAATAAAAATTCAATTAATTTAATAGTTTCAAAATAAAAATAAAAAAATAAGAAAATTCTTTTTCTTTTTCTTCCATTCTTCTCAATTTTTGTTTTTCAAATGAAAATTACAGGTTTCATCTTTGACCAAGCATATACATCAAATCAGTCATTTCTAGATATAAAAAGAAATAAAATATATCGAAGAACAAACAAAATTCAAATATACGCACATCTGATGCCAGGGACATAATTCAACACTGAAAATAGAAAAAGAGTCGTTTGAAGAAGTCATAGGTCTTTGATCGAGTAGCACTGCACTGATCATTATTGGAGGGAGGCAAGTGTCATGCTCCTGTTTGATTTAGAGATGTACAGGGTAAGTTTTTGTCATGCTCTTTACCCTGACCGACATGCGAAGTTCTTCCAATGGTAAATCACTTTTGAGTTGGGACTATGCATATCACATAGATACAAATATGTTTTGAGTGTCCGGAGGCAAGTTCGTGTCGTTAGTTTATTGCTGTAGAAATGTTGCATTTAACGGTAGTTTCTCAATGAATGCCGTTGTAACAGAAAAACTGATTTTCGAACATCAAAAATCTATTCTCATTAAAGCTTGTACTTATGAAAAGATTCAAGTCAAGATTTGAAAATCATTTTTTTCTGAATCACAGCATTCATTTAAAAAAAATTTTCGTAAAAGTACAGTAACTCCCTAGTAATAAACTAAAGTCTCTATGTAGACAAATTTCGAAAGTAGAAACATGTTGCATTTATCAATTAACTTCTCAAATTTTAGTCGAAAACGTTTATGAATTATACAATTCGAAATTTGAATCATAATTATAAATAATAACAAGTTTTATTGAATATTGTTCTCCTCATTTAGAATTCTTTATCAATAGGAGATTAAATCCATATTGATGTATGACAACCATTTTTCTTTTTTGTATGTCATTTAAATCTATGATAAATTTGATAGAAATCTAATAATCAGATACAAAACATTCTTTTTATTTTTTTCGATTATTTCAAAAATTTATTAAAGTAAAAGAACAAAACTTTCTATTGACTTGATTTTTTTTCTTTCTTTTGTGTTTTAGAATCTTGGAATAAAAAATTACATTACACATATTTAATCATTGAGAAAATTATCTAAACTAATTCAAAAAATAAATTTTAAATTAATCTTCATAGAAATTTATTTACATAAACTAATTAGCAATTCAATCTTCTTTCTCATCAATTGATACTCACCATCGTCATTGTCCACTATTATCTCAACCTCCGTCATCTCTTTCTTCAACGCCATCATCATTGTCCAATAAATTCTTAGTGTTCATTTTCTATTCGTTCACATTAATAAAAAAAAAACAATTGTATCGAGATTTATATATCTACCAACAATAATAACATCTATTATTCTGCCAAATATAAAATATGCATTCAGGAAAACCTCCAATTGATATTATACGTATTGATAAACGTTTATTAACAAATGAACATCTTACAATAAAAACAAAACATATTAAACTTGAACCAATTTCATCATTTTCTATTGATAAAAATTTAAATGATATACAAAAAATTTTTAAAAATTCAATATCATCTATACCACCAACATCAATTTCTTATTTACCTGATGATTATATACCAACACCACCACAACCACCAAAATATTCATCTATTAATCTTAAACCAAAAACACCAACAATTATTTTAGAAACATATAATGAAATAATGTCACCACAATTACAACATTATTGTTTATCACAACCAATATGTATTTTACGTGGTTTAGCTAATGTACTTAAACTTGATTTAGGTTTATTTTCAACAAAATCACTTGTTGAAACTCAACCTGATCATCAAATTGAAGTACGTACACAACGACAACAAGCAAGTGATGAAAATTTTGATTTTACATCATTAATATTACCATTAAAAAATATTTGGAAATGTGAATCAAGTCGTTCATATACAACAATATCGAAATATGCACAATATCAAGCATGTTCATATCATGATATGATGAAAGATAATTCTAATGAATCATTATTATCATCAACAAATAATTTAACTAATGGTATATCGAAAAAAAATTCTAGTAAATATAAAAATAAAAATAAATTTGATCTATTATTTATTTTCAAAAGATAATTTGTTTGATTGTTTTTGTTTTTTTCGAATAACTCTTGCAATTTTTACCATTCAAAAGAGAAGAATCATGATTATTGAAATATATCAAAATTTTATTTTGTTTATATTTTTATTAGGATTAATCGATAGAAATAATTTATTTCTGTCGATCTACGCAAAGTTAACGTTCCTACCGTATTCCATTCGAGAGTTGCAAGATTGTTTCTAAGACTTTCGGTTTCAGATAATTGACAGATGATCATCCGGAAAAGCAATTAAATATGAGAAATTCATCATTAGGAAATTCTAGAATGATTTGCTTTTCACGACCATCATTCTTGAGATTTTGAAGTTTTGCTGGATTTTTCAATAAGCAACTATGGTCTAAATTTTCTAATATTTTCCTTTCTAGAAACGAACAAAATTTGCTTTTATACATGAAAGAATATCGAACATTGAATATCTGAAAATAAGAGAGATTAGAAAAGAAACAAATTTTCTCATGAACTAATGTCTTAGTTTATGAAAAGTTTCAAGTCAAAAGTCTAATGTTCAAGTGACCATAGCGTTTTATTGAAAAACTCAGTAATATTTTGATATGTGTAGAGTGAAGGTACAAAACAAAAAGCAAATCATTTTAGTCTTTTCTATTACTCATGAATATCATCTTAATCGAAGAGCAATTCAACCCCTGAAGAGATTTTCTTGCCAACATTCTGAATTTCCTCTGTCTAGCTGCTTATCCATATGATTATAAATCAATTGACTGAAATCAGAAGTCGCAGAAAACGTGTGATAACTCTCGAAGGAAACAAACTAAAAGTTTTGGCCTTGTGTAGATCGATAGAGAAGAATTTTTTTCTATCGATTAATCCTATCAGAAGTCTAAATCAAAAGGGAAATAGCTATAGAATATTGTTTTCAAAAAATCTCCATCAAAAACTTACCTTATTGAGCAATTACAAACCAATCATAGTTCGATGCACTTGAATGACCTTGGTCTTGTCATATGAATAATGAAAACCGCAAGTCACTGTGGTATTTCTATCTAGGGTAGTGGCTTCGGTTCAGTAGGTCATTAAGGTTAATGTTGAGACATCATCCCAATTCCTATCAAATATTATTCAGAAAACAGTTAAATATTTTATACTTTAATATGGATAGTAGTAGTTTGAAAAAAAAATTGATTTTGTTTTTTAGCATCATGTATACGTACAATTAAATTTGGTACTAATGTTGATTTATCAGATGAAAAAAAATGGCCAATGCAATTAAATGAATTAAAAAAATTACCATTATTTTTACGTGTTCAATCAGCTGGAAATCTTTTATCTCATATTGGTTATACAATATTAGGTATGAATAGTGTACAATTATATATGAAAGTACCTGGTTCAAGAACACCAGGACATCAAGAAAATAATAATTTGTGTGCTATTAATATGAATATTGGTCCTGGAGATTGTGAATGGTTTGGTGTTGATAATCAATATTGGGGTGTTATACATACATTATGTGAAAAAAATGGTGTTGATTTTTTAACTGGTTCATGGTGGCCTATATTAGATGATTTATATAATGCACATGTACCGGTTTATCGTTTTATACAGAAACCTGGAGATCTTGTTTTTGTTAGTACAGGGTAAGAATTTGAATTTTTACAAGAATAGAAAATTTAACGATGTCGATAGATATTTAGTTATTATTGAAACTATTTAAATGCATATCAATTATTCTATTGAATGAAATTGTTTTCGAGTTCGAACTCAATTCTCAAGTTAGACTCTGATAGAATTCTATAGAAAACATCAGAGAATAATAGTTACAATTCAAAAAATTGCTTATTTTCAACCTGATTATTGATAGGTCTTATAAACTTTATTCTAATGGAATCAATCGTAACTTAAATGTTCTTCGCTTTGTTTTTATGAGATACATATGTTGAAGTATACATCAAGGTTTTTTCAAACACTAACAATATAGACCATCACAAACAAATTAATAAAACCATAACTGTGAAATTGAAATTTATTGTATAATTTTATTCATTAGCGAAAGACACTAGGTAAATAACAAAGTTCTCAAATAATATTTATTTAATTGGACATGATGCATTGAATAGACTATCGAGTATAAATATATAATCGACTTAGACTGATTTAGTAAATAAATCTTTCTATTAATAATAGTAATTATTTTGTATTACATATTTTAATCTCAAATGAAAATCAATTTGTAGATACAATCAAGATGATTAAAATTCTATCAAACAACTTACATGCTATTAAAAGAAATATTATTTAACTTAAGATAAATTCAAGAGCGAATAGCAGACGCTGCAAACTTTAAGCTCACAGTTTCTCTTTTAGACAATTCTTAATTAATCATTGATGAGTTTAATATTGTTTCTATATACCTTTTTGAAATGTTAGAATCTTTATGTACCAACATGAATCATAGATATTATGCCTATTGAACTAATTCTATTTTGTATTTAATAATTCCTTGAGACTTAAAAATATTCATTGAAGAACAAAAAAAAAAAACAACAACAATGAAGAATATTGAAAAATAATTTTCTAATTTAGATGTGTTCATTGGGTACAAGCAATTGGTTGGTGTAATAATATAGCTTGGAATGTTGGTCCATTAACATATACACAATATTATGCAGCTATTGAACGTTATGAATGGAATAAATTAAATTCATGTAAATCAATTGTACCAATGGTACATTTAACATGGAATATAGCACGAAATATTCGTGTTAGTGATCGACAATTATATGAATTAATTAAATTTATTTTATCAAAATCATTAAAATATATTCAATCAATATTAAAATATTTAGAAGAACAATTTAGTTCAAATATTATTATACGAAAACAATTACGTACAATAAATGAACCAGTACATTATTGTATAACATGTGATTGTGAAGTATTTAATATATTATTTGTAAAAGAAATTGATCGTAAACATGTTGTACGTTGTTTGGATTGTGCTTTACAATATGATAAACAATTAGAAAATGTTGTAGTTTTATATCAATTTATATTAGATGATCTTTTAACAATTTATGATCAATTTCAATTATGTTATATATCAAATATGAAATAAAAACCACAAATACCTGATAAATATGTTTTTCTTATCTTTATTTTTTCCTTTTCATTCTTTTCTATATATTGTCTGTGTTATTTATTATATATATATATATATTCGACTTATTGTTGTTGTTGTTTTTTATGTTTGATTTTGTTGTTTCGTACACACTTAAACATAAACAGATTAGATATTAAACAACAAAAATATAAAGAATAAATTGTTTCTGTATTCTCGATTGTGACGAGATATTATTGTTTGTTTTGTATAAATATATATTTCATTTTTGTTTTTATATTATAAATGTTTATCTGTACAAAATTTATCTATACATTGTAAACAGCGGACAGTGGCTGAAATGAATATAACAATAAAAATTTAATTAAATAAGCTTTTTGAACTCGAATAAAAAAGCATAAACAAAAAGAAAACGAGAGTAATTTGTTTGACCCCATTTCAAGTACGTGAACTGAACCTTGAAGCGATCAAAGGTTGCTCTCTCTTACACTCTCTCTCTCGCGCTTTTTCTTTCTTGAATATAATAAGTGCATATATGTCTAAGTCTCGAAGTCAATCGTCGACAAGAATAAAAAGAAAAAAAAAAATTGAAGAACAAAAGCAGAAAAAAAAAATTACATTTGTTTATGTCGTGTGGACTTGTTGCTATTACTACGAATTGAAAGTTCTGTTATTTAACAAGAAAGCATCATTATATCATTTTCTTTTCGTTTCTTTTTTGCTTGCTCATCATCTTTATCATCACTCTTTTTCTTTCTTGATTTTTTTTCCGTTTGATTCGTAGTTATTTTTTGTTTTGCTTATGCTCTTTATAGTGACCTTTTTGTTTTACATATATTTTTCTCGCATCTTCTCTTTTATTCGCATTTGTTGACTACTAGATATTTATTTATTCTATAAAATGTCGAATGAATAACTATTTTGTTTTCTCTTTTTCTTTTTCTTTTTTTTTTTTTTTTTAGTTTTTTCTTTAGTAACCTTCAAGACTTTTTTGTTTTACTATCAACATACGCTTATCTTTTGTATAGATAAAAAATAATGCATAATGCTTTAATTTTCGATTCATATGGATATTATTATTTGGTATTATAAGAATCTATTTATGGTACAAGAAAAAAAAAGACATTGAGATCTTCACACGCTTCTATTATTATCGTTTTCTGCCTTCGCTACCCTTCTCAACAAACGAAACTACACACACACACACACACACAGAGATACGTACTCTAGAAGGCAAAAGGAAACAGAAAAGGACATAACAGCAGCACACGCGGGAAGAGAAAAAAAAGGAAAAAAAAGCCGACGAACAATCGACTCAATTGAGAGAAAGAGCAAAAAAACAGGTCACTTCTTTTTTTCTGTCTTCTATTCTGTTGTCGTCGCTTTTTGACGAACTTTGCCAGACACCACACGTTATTTTTCTCAAGTATATTCGGAAATATGTATATTCTATCAGCAGGTATGAATTAAAAACGTGTTGGTGCCAAGAAAATAGTTTAATTTTTTAAATTAAAAACAATTATATGTATACATACATATCTAATAATTAATATCTATGTTTATGATACGAAGAACCGATATTATTAATGGTGATAATGAACATCAGTCAAACTCATCAACTTCAATGGTACATGAATCTCAAGCAAATTCTAATCACAATCCGAACGAAGATAAATTATATGATGATCCCTTGATACATGATACAATATTACCACATCGAAAACGTATACGCCGAGATACATTACTTTCTATTCAACAACAAAGTTATATTCAACCTCAACAATCTGAATCAACGACAAGATATTATAAAATTGATGATGTAAGTTTATTTTTAATAATTTATTGTCGATTAAAAAAAAAAGAAAGTCAAAAAAATGACATTTTTATAAATAAACTTTACAATAACATATTCATAAGGCTGACCTTGAACGTGCTTGATACGAAATACTAGTGTCTCGAACGAGCAAGGAAAAAAAGAGGGAGAGAGAGTAAGGATGTAGCATTATAGAAGAAAGAATAAAATGGCAAGGACAATAAACGAGATGTGAGGGCGTCAGCCTTCGCCGGTGAAGGCCAACAAAACACTGACGGCGACCTTGTTACAACTGCTACTATGTCTAATTCATATTCTCTGGATTATTATAAAAAAAAGAAAGAAAAATGTATGATATTGAAGGTGAACAAATGTTGTTCCTGAGATACGAATCAATAGAAAGAAAAGATTGTCCTTGAAACTAACAAAAAATCATTGAAAATTTTGAATAAACAACTAAGTATAAGAAAAAAAAAAAGAAAAGAAATGTTTGATAATCTTCTGTCATGAAAACAGATTTTATTCCAAGGTTCTTTTCTTTTTTTTTCTTTTCTCTATTGATAAACAACTAAGAATACAAAAAAACAAAAAGTGACCCGAACAAAAGAAAATACGTTTTTTTTGCTTTTTTATCAACGACAAAAAAAATGAGATAAAAAATAATAAACTATGAAAATGTCATTTTATGCATTTCGTTAAGTCAAGATTATTTTATAATAGAGACGCAAAAATATGCAAAAGAAAAACACTGTTTGACCCGAAGAATTTCCTTTACTGAATGAATTGAAAATCATCGCATATGTATATTTATATCGTACTTTTCAGTACAAGCATAAATAGGACATAATGATAACATCACATTCAAAGCTAAAACATAATTAAAAGATATTGCTTTGTATAGGATGAAATAACAACGTCTTATTTTTTGTCCATGGACAATCGTGAAGAAAAATTCATGTAGAATATATAGATTGAATATGAATAATAAATGTTTTGTTTATGATCCTTTCTTTCAACATGAACTTAATATATAATTAAGCTAGAATCTATAGTATTTTCATATATTTATTCATCTAAGTTTTTCACCAGAGCTAAGCAGTAAAGTGGACGATTGTGACATCGTCTCCTGTCATTCAAAAAGAAAAGTAATGACAGTGTGAAGAAGTTGGTTTTGTATTTAATGTAAATTTTCACACTTTTCATTAGTGATACTTGATATGTGTTGAGAACGAGATTGTGAAAGTATTCTCTCAACATATTTACTAAATAAATATGTAATATGAAAATAAGTATTTCTGTTGTACTGCACGGCATTACAAGACAGAAAAAGTACTTTTGTGCTCAGCTCTGGCTTTATCGAAGAAATAACATGTCAAAATACAATTGCCCAAAGCATAAATAATACGAGCATATTATTGATTACGATATTGCACAACTACACTTCTATTTTTTTTTCAAGAATAGACAATATGTAACTGCGCATATTAATATCTCATATCTTATCAAAGTCGAAAACATCTAAGAAGTCAATTGAAATAAACCATGATGAGAGCGAAATGACTTTTCAAGAGATTTACAATATATTTTATTTTATGTACAAATAACTATTGTCTCAGTAACAAAAGACGACAGTACTATATATTTATAATTGTTACGTATATTGAATTCATTTTTAGGATGATAATCATAATTGTATTAATGATGAAACCAATTCTATGAATGTCACAATACCAACATCTAATCAACATCAATTAACAGCAGCTGCTAATAGTCTTCTAAATCTTTCAAGTTAGTTCATAGTTTTTCTTTTTGTTTTTTTTAAATTAACTTCTAAATTATTATTTTCTATTTAAATAGATTCATTAATTATCGATACTGATGATCATAATGAATGTCAGTCGAATATTTCAATCGGTGATGGAACAACAACATCAACAACAAATGGAGATTTATCATTATTATGTTGTGTTTGTCAAGATCGTGCATCGGGTAGACATTATGGTGTACTTTCTTGTGAAGTAATTTATCTTTCTAGTTATATAAAAATTCCAAACAATCAATTTTTCGTTTTGTTCATTAGGGTTGCAAAGGGTTTTTTAAACGAAGTATACGTAAACAAGTATTCTATACATGTTTGAGTACAAAGGATTGTCCAATAAATAAATTTATGCGAAATCGGTAAATAATAATCGATTAGATAGTCTTTTTCTTTTTTGATTAATGGTTTTGCTTTTTTTTTTTTTGTTTATCCATCCAGGTGTCAATATTGTCGATTACAAAAATGTCTTCAAGTAGGAATGCGTGTTGAAGCTGTTCAAAATGAACGAAGACCTTATACCAATAAACATGATTTAATTATAAATGGAAATAATAATCAACGAATACAAAAACAAAGTGAAAATAATGTAAAGGAAAAAATAATTTAAGAAATTCAAAAAAAAAAAAAAAACTAAGATTTTTATTTCTTGTGTTTCTTTATAGTTATTAAATTCATCGTCAAATGATATACAATTAATTTTTAATAATAAAAAAGATGATTCAATACGACGAGTTAATGAAAATAAAACTCTTCATAGTATTCTTACATCAACATCAAGAGTTCAAACGCCTACAACACGTATATTTTATTATAAATTTAAATTTTTTTAAATTCAAATAAATGTTTTATTGATTTTTAGCAGTCTTTCTTTCTCCTCCTTCATCATCATCATCGTCATCATCATCATCATCATCATCATCTCTAAGTACAACCACAAATCTTCAAACTGATTGTAATATGAAAATTGAAACACCAAATAATCATCATACAACAGCTATTACAAGAGCTTTTGATAATTTAGCCAAAGCTGCAGCACATGTAATTATCTTTTTTTCTTGTGAAACACAAACTAAAAGAAGTGTTGCAGTGTAGGAGTAAAAATGTGGATCGCCTCCTCTCCCAAGAAAAAGGCGATGACAGACATTGTTGTCGTTATACCATATGAACTACATCCTTATTGCATTTCTGGAGGATTGAGTATAAGGATGATGAAGAAATGCATCCTAAAATATATATAGAATAAAATAATATTCCTATTATTAGTACTAGCAGCTACATCATGTTTTGTATTTTAATCTTGCAAGAAGTTGTGTTAGAAACTATTGTTTTATTATTATAATTGTTGTTAATTAATAGACTCGATTGAATACAAATAATATTCCTGCTGTACCAACACAACAACATTATCTTCTAAATGAAAAATATTATTGGGAACAAATTGAACGTAAGTTAATTTACATTTTTGTTTTACCAAAAAAAAAATGATTTATTTAAAAATTAATTTACAGGTCCATTAGTTACTGATATAACTAGTGTATTTACAATAACACCTCCAACACCTCCAACAAATCGTGATTTACAACCAACAAATAGTTTTATTTGTGAAACAGCATCACGTATTCTTTTTCAATCAATTGATTGGATTAAATGTAATTCTTGTTTTCAAACATTAGAGTAAGTTCATTAGTATTTATTTGTTTTTTTTTGATTTATTTATTTATTTATTTAATTTCTTCTTTTTAAAAAAGTACACAAATACAAATAATTCTCATACAAAATAATTGGCTATCATTATTTATTCTTAGTCTTCTTCAATGTTCATCTATTGTTAATTTATCACATATTTTAACATCATTACTTGCTAGTAAAAATTTTTCAAATTTTCAAATCTATTTAATTTAATTTAATTTAATTTCTCTAGAAAAATTAGATAATTATGAATCAAATAAATATCATCAATTACGACGTATTCAATCACTTTTATACGAATTTGATCGTCTACAAGTAACATCTATGGAATATGCTTATTTAAAATTAATTTTAGTTTTTAATCCAATTCATAATAGTGGTAAATATTATTTAAGTTGATTTTATTTTGTCAAAACACGATCGAAAATGAGTGTTGAAATATACGAATAACAATGTAGACTCACTTTCAGAGACACATTAGCAACATTCAATTTCTCTTCACGTCACAGACGATAGCCAAAGACTATCATAGATTGTAATAGACATAGCCATGGAAATGGCACAGACCGTAACAGATACTGCAGCCACACTCAATTTCCTTCCATGTCAAAGACCGTAACAGACGCTAGTCAGAAACCATGACTGATCGTGACATATGTTTGCCAGAGATCATCAAAAACCGTGACAGATATTGATAGACGATTACAGTTATAATATACGAAATATTGCCATATTGTATTTTTTTTTTGGGAGATTAAGTAAAAGGATAATGAAAATAGACGTCCTAAAATAGATATGATAGAACAATTTTTCTATTATTAGCAATAACAGTTACATGATGTTTGATATTTTAATCCTGTTGAGATTGTGCTAAAAAATTTTATATTTTGTTTAAATAAATTTAGAATTTAGTCAATCCTATGATCAAATTGATGCCTATCGTATATTAATATATAAAGAATTACGTGATTATTTAAATGATCGATTATTATCAACATCATATGATGAATTACGATTAGGTCGACTTTTACTTAAATTATCATCATTAAGTGAAATTGATACGAATATAATTGAAGAAATTTTCTTTGTTGGTTTAATTGGTATGTTGATTTTATTATTATTATTATTTTTTTTTTAAGAATTATTTCGTTCTCTTATTTCGTAAAGGTTCAGTACAAATCTCTAAAATCATTCCATGTATTTTTAAAATGAATGTCGCATCAACATCATCATCAATAATTAAATATGAAAAAACTGATCAACAATCACTTGTCTCGTCATCATTATAGAGAAGAAACATATCATCCGGTGTTCATAGTGTTATTTCTACTTTTTTTTTTCGTGTTTTTTATTATCTCAGGCGTGTGTATTGTTTATCCCCATATTTATTTTATTTTTCTTTTGCCTTATTTTTTTTTTCAATGACTGACTGATACAGTCATTCCGCATGTGTGTACTTTTTTGTAGGCAACAGATAATAAATTGACGTATATCTCAGGCTAATAATATAATTCATCAATTAAAAAACCATACCCGTAAGCTCATTATTCATCAAATATTTAATGAAGAAAATGCGGCTTATATTTTGCTCAATAATTTGATAAACTGAACTTAAAACAATGAATTTATATTTGTCTTTAGTCAACAACGCAATTATAATAGGATATTAGATTTATAAAAAAAAAAACTAAAAAGGTTATTTTTTCAAAATGCTTTCATTTTTATAAACGTTATTTTGTATAAAATTTTCTTCTTATAAATCTTAATGCTTATTCTATAATATATAGAACTTTATTTTAAATTATTCAAATCAAGATTATGCAATTCTACAGTAGTGTATAAAAGCCTTCGTCCTAGACAATTTTGACTATTGTATGTGCTGAAGGTTTGAAAATTTGTGTATAGACACTTCACTAAGAATCTAGGTCGTTTGCATCGAGGCGCTGTTATTGCTTGATTAAAAAGAGAGTGATAATGGATCGCATTTATCTTGGTTGTCAACACCATCGTACCGGAAAAGAAGAGTAGTCTATATCAGCCGGCTTCTAAATATGTGATGATACGTCGCAGCTATCTACATTACTAAATGCATTGAGGTTCATCAATCCTTTTAAAGACTGTAATCATTGTTGTGGAGAGAAACCATCTACTGTATTTTAAGATTAATAGTTCAGTAATAGCTCAATAAAATGAGTTCAAACTTATTGAGAAGTTTCTTCTACAATTTTCATAAGTGAAGATTACTCTAAAGAGAAATCAAACATAGATAATAATCTCGTTAGTTCTAAAGATCGAGAAACACCAATATTTGCGTCAATGAACTTCTCTTTTGAATAAAAAAAGATCGTAGACAGGACTTTAATGGCATGTAAAAATATTAAGAATTAGTTATATTTTTAGTAAGAAACAGCTTAGAATTTTATGAGCAATTTTTTTTTTTTTTTGAGATGACGATGCTCGAAGCAAAAAATAAGTGTTGTGCATCGTAAATCTCTTTTTAATTAAGAAATAACGATGCCGCAATGCAAATGATCTATGTTCTTAGTAAAGTGCATATAAACAAATTTTCAGATCTTTAGAACATACAGTGATCAAGATCGGCTGGGACGCAAACTTTTGTTTACTACTGTATATATCAAGTGAGTAATAATGATTGCAACATCTAGTGTATTGCAAATATCTACACATAGATACATTGTATAATCTTGATTTTCTTTTTAAAAAATGTGCCGTGAAATTCTCTTGAGTCATTTTAATAATGTTTTTTTTTTTTATAAGGCTGAAAGTACAGCACTGTATGACAGTGAAATGATCCATTATTCTGAAAGAAGGAAACCCTTTTAATAATATTATCATTTACTTTCCGAAAATAATTAAAATGAAATAATATACGATCACATTGTGAACATAGCTCACATCAATTTTTTGGCATGTTGTTGTTATTTCTTTCTTCAAATCTTTTCATGCTTTGACCTTGTAAATAATCAATGTTTTTATTGATACTATTCCAAATTGAATAATCTAATAGACTCAAGTCTGCTAAGTTCGAAGGCCATCAATCTTTACATATGAACTTCTCAAAGTTCTTTTTGCATCATTTTGAATATCTTTCATTAGTATCTGACGTCACTACACCTTATTGTAGACACCAGTTTTGATAACCAAATAACCAGTTACATTTGGCCTGATAGAATAGTAACAGTTTATCACTAAATACTAGAAAAAATAATCAATGTTAGTTTGATTCCTATTTCTCTTAGTATAATAAAATATTTCACTAACACATAGCACTTCACTTTTAGCTTAGAATTTTTGATTATTATTCTTGCATAGAATTTTACCATGCATCTTTAATAACAAAGATCAAAATAAGACAATTTATCTGTGCGTAGATATTTGCAAAAACACTTGATGTCGTAATCATTTTGACTGACTCTATAATTGTTCGTTGAGTTCATTTTCTAATTAAAAGGAAAAAAGAATCATCAAATTCATGTCTCTGTTGTTGATTATGACAAAAATAGATGATGTCAGAAACATAACTTATCGGAATAATATTTCATTTTTTAGTTTTATTTTCATTCTTAAACAACTCTCGAACAATGGACAGTAATACTCTAATACTGATTGTTGTTACTATGATACAAATTCCTTCATTTTTTTGTGCTATACAAAGTGTTCGATTTAGTCAAAAAAATAATCCATTAAGTCATATACAAAATCATGCACTTGCTTGTTTATTATTGGTATCTATATGGACAATTGGAATTGATTTACCTTTTACACAAGCATATTTATGGTTAGATAATGTACCTATTCGTACAACATGGGCTTGTATTTTTTATAATGTATCATTTTTTAGTATGACTGGATTAAATCGTGTACTTATGGCATTCATGTGTATTGAACGTCATTTTCTTGTTTTTCATAATCATCTTTATCGTACACATCGTTCACGTTTATTATTTCATTATATTCCATTTTATTTTACTATATTATCTATTGTAATATATTTTATTATTATAAATACTTTAATATCATGTGGTGATATAAGTTTTGATTATACACGTTTTATGTGTGGTTATACATGTGCAATACGTATTCGTAATCTTGGAATGGTTTATATATGGTTAAATGTTTTTGTACCTACAGCAATTACAACTATTGCAAGTATTCTATTACCTATCAGATTTGTTATTCAAAAAACAAGTCTTCATCGTTTACAATGGTATCGTGCACGAAAAATGATTATACAAACAAGTATAATTGCTGGTGCATATGTTATATGTTGGTTACCTTATTCAATAGTTCTTCAATTATTAGTCAATGGAATATTGTCTTTTTCTGATCCAAATATAACTCTATTTTTCATATATGGACCTTATATAACTTCATTGTTGACACCATTTATTGTTCAACATACAATACCTGGATGGATGAATAAAAAACTGGTAAAACAAATAAAACTGCTATTTTTTCCACAACAACGATTAACTCAACCACGAACTGGTATATTTATTCCGCAATAATATTTTTTTTATAGTTGAAGAATAAAAATAAAGAATATGAAAAATGGACTGTGAACCTCTGCTGATGAACTAAACCTGTCAAAACCGAGTACAAGTATAGATGCGTATATATAATTAAAAAATTATGTTTTTCTTTTTCTGCGACTCATTATGTTGTTCTCGTACTGTGATGCACGTCGTACAATTGTAAAAAAAAATTTTTTAAAAATAAATCTTTATAATTTTAAGAATTTTGCTGCGTAAAAAGACACTATTTGCACTAGAAATGTTTTATTCGACGGGGAAAACCGAGGGATAGAATCCATCGGGTCCAAAATTTACAGATCTGAACTAACTTGACGGACTCCAGCGAGGGAAGGGAGTGTCCTTCCGAGCATTAGGTTGGCCTTCGTAAAGATTTCGCGTATGATACTAAAAACTATGTCTGTGCTTCTAATAAAAAGTTTAATAGTAATTTATATTTAATTCTTCATTGGCGAAGTGTCTTATCAAGTGAAGTTTGAAACATGTTATTTGATTACTGTAAGAAATGTTGGAGACATTTCTAATGACTATGGTTCAAGTTGCTTCTTTTTTATCTCGAATTGTACCGTTATATTAAATCCTACTAAGAAACAAAAAATCAGACTTATTTTCTACTTCATTGACCCGTATCAATCGAATGAAAGAAAACTTTCAGATGTGACGTGTGATCAAACTTAATTCAGGTACTATGTAAATCACCGAACAATATCGAATTTATATTAACAGAATCTATACGTCAAATATCCATGTGATTCAAACTGAACCAAAAACCACCGGTATAATGTGTGCTATACTGATGATATTTGCCGGTAGTGATAAAAGCACCGGTATACCAACAATAGTCCTCCAACTGACAATCTATTACCGGTATATTAGCAGTCATGCAAACAAACGTGCAACATGGTTACAGGGATTATGATAACAGAAATTTATTAAAAATTGTTATTTTTATCTCATCATACGTCGAAGCTGTACTTCATCAGTAAGCACTAGGCTTTACGCATGTTCTCAAAGTATTTTCTTCATATGTCAAAAGTCTTGAACTCCAGCGCAAATTAAAAGAAAGATCTACTGTTACTTCTATTTGCATATCTAAAGATTTTACTGCCAACATAACTCAAATAATTGAACTTTTTATATAAAGAAGATTATTGTACTAATCGAGATAAAAAATTGAAGTTTACTCATTTGAAATATTTCTAAACTTGTTATTAGTCGTGGCATTATGTGTTTCAAATTTAACTTAATAATTATGTTTCTTGAGACAAACTGTGTTAAAATTCTTGTTGTGATCTTTTCCTTAATTGCATCGATATATTTTATAAATAAAAATTGCACATGTGTTACAACATTCTAAATATCGAATATGCACTTCTCCAGTGCAACGAATATTGTCAGATAATCGTTGATAATGAAAAATTGATGAGTAGTATTTAAAAGTGATTAAGAATAATAATCAGAATTTTTATTTAAACATCTATTTCATAAACTAGAAAGAATATTCAGCCAGCTGCTCTGGAAATTCTGAAAAAATGAAAAATTTGATTTATTTGATATACACATATATATTTAAAGATGAATGGTTTTTTTTTAATAAAATCTAGATTACAATTTTCATATTTTAAATATTACAACGAGCAAATATTTATGTGTAAAAATCGAAATAGAATTTCTATTCGATTTAGTAGAACTCGATGAAACTTAGGAGGAACTTATATTAATTGTATCAAATTTTCCTTTCGACCTTATACTTCAAGCCTTGTCAATATATTATTTGCTTCGTGCTCAAAAATTACCCGTGATTCATCCGAAATGGCGTAGATGATGACTCATATTGTTCGCTGTTTCTTGTGCATTGCTATTTATAAAACTATCTTGTGACACGTTGTTGAAGTAAATATTGTGATGCAGTGGTGCAAGAGCATGAAGTTGTTTTTTTCTTTTTCTTCCGTTACCTGCATTTTCTGATTTCAAAAAAAAAAGATTTTTTTTCATTTTACCTTGCAGTAATATAAAAAACAAGCGAAGAAGTATGGACGTCAATGAAACGTCTTCAACAGATTCGCTTGAAAAGCATTATGCTGAAATAGCACAAAAGACAGCTGAAGCCATAGCTGCTGAAGGACTACCATCGTCTGGTAATAATGGATTATCTATCCAAAGTTCCCTTCCACAATTGCCACGCTATCAACCACCACCACCTCCTTCACCACCAATGGAACAATTTATGGTATGCCGAATGTTTTTTCCCACATCAGGTCATATGGGATTTGACACAATTAAATTGTCCGATGAATTACCTCCACTTGAAATAGTTCGCGAAATGGTTCTCTATGAAACACGTCTTCGTTTGTCTGGTTCAATGCAAAAAATCATGGATGAATATCATACTGATGAATGTGCTGTTACGTAAGCATAAATTTATTTTTCTCATAAGATACGTTAATTGAATTATTTTGAAATTTTAGTTATATACATAATCTTATTCAACAACATGTCGTGGAATATTTCGGATATCGAGATGTTAATGCATTACGTACAGCTTTGCATCGATTTCCAGATGATCCTATTGTTCAAGCAGCCTTTTATGGTAAATGTTTGAAAATGAATTGTTCTTAAAATACTCATCATTAATAATAATCTTTCAAATTTAAATCAATAAAATATGATATGCTTTTTTCATTTTTTCATTTTTAATATTTTCTTTTTAGTTAAATACAATAAAATTTCACAAGGTGTAGTTCAACAAGGTCAATGTGCTCGAGATGTCAATCTATATACTGTAGATGGTCAACCAACGAATCTCTTTTCACAAATTTCAGCTGGCCAGCCATTAATAATATTGGCTGGTTCAACTACATGACCTCCATTTCGAGCAAATGTCGAGCGAATGAAGTAAGACTTTTTGTATGGAATCGAAATATAAAACATTTATATTTATTATTAGCGCGCTTGTTCGCTCACATATGCCGAATGGTATACGTCTCGTTGCAATTTATATTGCTGAAGCACATTCACGAGATGAATGGCCAGTTGGCGAGACAATATCATGTGTTGATCAACCAAAAACATTTGAACAACGACTTGAAAATGCTCAAAAATTCAAAAAGAATTTTAATTTCGAAATGCCTATGCTTGTCGATAATATGAATAATACTTTTCTTAATACTTATGGATCATGGCCATTTCGCTTCTTTGTCATATATGAAGGTGAATTAATATTGAAAGCTGAACCTGATAAAGAAACTTTCACTTATGACTTGAACGAAATTGATAAATGGATTACGAACTTCTATGAATCACATTCTCAAACTATTTAATAGTTTTATTTGATTTTAAGAAATAGTACAACTGTTTTCTTCTTTCTATTTCCTATCAATCTATTTGATAGTCCTCAACAATAAAAACCTAGCATAAACTAATGATGACTATGAATACAAATCACATTTGTGAATATTTATAGTTTGATAAATAAATGTTAAGTTTTCCGAGGAATTTTTTGCGCGTAAAAAATATTGGATAGATTTTGATGGAGATAGAAAGAAAAAAATCATTTGTACGTTTCTAAATATTTTATTTTCGAAATAAATATTAAATATATATGACATATAAATCATATTTAATTAGTTAAAACTGATAAGCTAGGATAAAAAATAAATATATATATATATATAAAGAACATTCAAGTTTGTTTTACATTGAAAAAAAGGCAAACGAAATCTTTATTTAAAAATCGTATTAAGCGCATTACTATACTGTTTGTTCCTTACAAATTTTAACTAAATTTATCCCAGTAAGATTCTTTGAATACATCGTCATCAGTCCAAATTGTTATCGAATCTACTTTACGTTCAAATAAGAATTTAACTTTTCGTAGTAATTGATCATCCCATACTTTTTGTTCATCACGATTATAAGATGAATATGGAAAATCAGTAATTTTAAATGTAAGACAACGAAGATGTGGTAGATAAGTCTTTATTAATGGAATATTCGATAATTGTATCGTATTAATTGTTAAATGTTCTATGTAAGGAAACAATTGTGAAATAGTAATAATATCGTTTTTATCAAAATTATGTTCATCAACAGATATATCAAGACATTTCAAATAATTATTATTTTCTAAATAAACTTTTTGATTACTAAGTAAAAGACTATATTGAATCCGAAGTGAAGTTATATTATTTATAACACATGATAAAAGTAAATTAATTATATTAGATTCCTTGCCAAGTAGTGAAATATCAAGATATTGAATTTGTGAATAATTTACATAGGTTAAAAACCATTGGAGAAGATCTCGATCTAGATTATAAACTACGAGATATCTAAGATTCTTGAAATAGTAATTATTTGATAAAGAACTAGTTATATCAGATATACCAAAATTAATAATTTCATTCGTAGGAATATCATCAATACGAGCACGTATAGGTACTATCCAGTATCGTAGAACTGGTTGATTATATTCATCTTGTTCACCATATTGCATATTTCCTACATCGAATCTATTCAAATTTGAATATTCATATTTTGTTATCATCATATAAAAATTTTTTTTTGCTCTCCAAAATGATGTATCAAATGTTGTTAGAATATTTTCAATATCAGCTTCATTTATACAATATGTCGTTGTCTTAAGAATAAAATTATTTAGCAAAGGTAATGATTCTTTTAATAAAGATTCCCAAGCACTTGCTTGTAGAAGTGCATTATGTGCTTTAATTTCTAAATGACGTAAAATAGGCATAGCTTTAAGATATTGTGCTAACATATCAAATGTTGTCGAATCATTTGATTGAAATGATAATATAACAGTCTGAAGATTAAACATTGTAATAATATTATTGTTTGAAGGTTGTGATAAATAATAGAGACCATAATATGAATTTGAAGTAAATCGAACATTAAAATATTTAAGATGAGAAGCACATCGAAATATTGATTGTACATGTTGAAATTCGCATGATAGATCAAAATTTGTAAAATATTCAACTGTTGATGAAATATTAGTTAAAAAATTCCATTGATTACGTTGAAAATCACTAATTAACATAATTCGTTTAATTTTTTTTAATTTTAATATATCACCAATAACATAATTTAATGTTGGCATATATTCTGTTTCTATTGCTTTAAGAATAATTGTATCAATAGGTGTATGTAATAATGAAAGAATAGCTCGCTGAGCTATTGACCAATCAATAGTTTTACCATTTAATTGAAAATAAAGTTTACGAAGTCGTTTAAATGAAATAAATAATGGAAAAAATGATAAAAATGTATGAATTTGACCAGGTGTATTTTGTTCAGATAAAATTAATATTTCTATTCGTTCGATATAAGTTGGTAAAAGATCAAGACAAAAATAAAAATAATCTTTTCGACAATGAAAAAAATTAAAATAAAATCGTTGACATTGCGATATAATTGCATTGAAACGTTGATTTTGTAAATCAGCAAATGCAACCAATATATCTACACCATTTATATATTTTTCAAATATATGAATTAATATTTCATTCGGAAGTAATTCTAATTTTGATACAGACATACTATAAGAGGAAGAAGACAGTAGTTCGATTTAATGTATAAAAAAACAACTTATGTACTTTGTTAATTTCTTTCTTATGTAAAAGTAAAAGTTTTTTTTTTTCTTTTCTACTCAATGTCAGTATGACTTTTTACTTATTATTCAAGAGAACTTTTATTTATTTGTCTCGCTCGTCTAGCAAACCATGCACAAAACTTACGAATCATATTAACGCATTAATAATCGGCAGGTTATTATGCCATTTACTCATGTCAAAAAAAAAAAATATATATATATATTGATTTTCTTTGTAGGAATTGTACGTAGAAAAAAAAGTGAATATAGTATCTTATGAGACGTTTGTATAAATTAATTTTGAACGATTCGATGAATTTTAATTATTATTCACAGAAAACGATAAAAATATAAACATTTAATCGGTACAAAATTTCGATAAGATTCTTTACCTTGGCTTCACACAACTTGCAGACGCAAAGAATCACATGAAAATCAATATAAACAGTATGAGTAACTACTTTGCTGTTGAATAATAAACAAAATGTTCTATCTTCAGTGAAAACCGTAAGAATCTCATATATATAAGGATGTATTTGCTTAGACAAATTATCTGCAGCAAACTGTTGAACATCATCAACGTAAGGTGTCCGTCAATCCCTTTGGTTCACTGACGGTGTTCAACAAAGAAGCGTCATCAATAGCTTATTTGGCAACTTAAAATACTCTGTGGGCGTTCATTCTATATACTTATTTTTTTTTGTTTGAGAGAGTATATTACAATAAAGAGCATAGTGGAGGCGTTCTATTTTTTCAAGTGCTTACTTTTTAAGCAAAGGAAAAAAATAAATGATCAATATGCTGAAAAATTCTCCTAAAATTGCATTTTTAATCATAAAAGTATTATTGAATATGATAATAATAAAGCTTAGTTAGATAAAAATGACTCTGTTATGTTCTATATCTTGACATTCTCTTTGAATCAGAAAAAAAAAATTTCTACATAGAATGAAGGTCTACAGAGAATTCTCGGATGCAAGATCAAAAAAGTATAACGAGAGAAAAAAGAAAGAAAAAATTTCTTGATGTTTCTGAAAACAGTATATTTTTCAAGAAGAAGATGCTGAATAAAAAGTGACGTTAGAGTTATTCATTTAATAGTTTGTTTATCCGTTTTTGCTAAATGATTTTTTGCATTTTCTGGTTGGTTATTCTTATCAGCGTGTATGAATCGTTGACTAATTCTTATTACTTTCTGATGTAGACTTATATTGTCGTGATATGTCTGCTTTAGCTGATTCATTCAAAATATTCTTACTCAGAAACTTTTTTTTCTCTTTATGTATAGTCTCGATAGAAATATGCTATACGTAATCAATAAATATTCTGTGTAGTTATGTTATTTCAGTATGCGTAACTTTCTGATGCTCATAGAAAGACAGTTTTCTACTTCTATTGAATTATCATTACATTTTAAGTATATAAAACAAAATACAATCTGCAAGAAACAAACAAGTTTGACAAAAACAGACACTAATTATATGCAGACGAACTGAAAAGTTTCATAGTCTATCATAGAGAAACTAATACAAGTATTTGAACTTCAGCTACCTATTCAAACAATATAAATATGCTGCTTATATAATCTTGTATTATTTTCTATATGTAGAAAAAAATCGTGTTTTATGACGTGTCTGTTGAATGTCATTCGCTTGTATTTTTTTGTTACTTTAATGCTTCGTGCACGTTTTATATTTTATTATATGAGACATTTCAGGTTAAGTATGATATATTCATCTTTCATCTGACTTTGATTGTTTACAACGATTATTTTTTTTTAATAAGTTCTTTTAGCATAGAAATATGTCAAAATGTTGGTTCTTTTAGCTGATGATTAATAAAAAATTGATGAGTGAATATCTTTTTAATTCTACAAGAAAAATTATCTGAAAATTTTAGGATAGACTCGGCGACACAAATCGCATCTATTATTATGAAAATTTCAAAAAGATTGGTTTCAAAAAGAAAACTGCTTCTAGAAATCTGGTTTTCTAGAGATTCTGTCAAGCTTCGAAACAAAGATGTTTGTCTAATAGTTATTTAGCACTTTGAAGAAGGCTTTATATCGTTTGACATTTGTTTTGAACCTCTCATTCGGTAATAAGAGCATTTCTTTTGCATTCTTCGTCACATCGCTAACGAAAAGTAAATCGAGTTTTATTTTAAACTTTGGATTGAGAGTTTGTAGCGTCAGAAGTTGTCTACAAAATGAATTATTTATGATTGCCTGAAATCGAAGGTTTTAAACTGAAACGCATGCTTCAGAGTGTTTGAAATAACTTAACATGCATGTAGTATTTAAAAATTAGTTCTATGAGTGTTCATTATTGTGAGATATACATGTTTTAAGTTTGCGAAGCCATGTTCATAACAAAGAATTTGGTCCAAATACTAAGAATAATTTTATGAATATGAATATAGATATGATTATTGATAGTTCTCTTACCTGTATACAAAATAATTTTGGGTATTTACGTTTCTTTTTTCTATGGTTCTACAAATTTGTTTCGTTTTTTTTTCATAATTTATCGTAATTCTTGTAGCTATTCAAGTGTGTTTGCCATTTGTAACTAAAATAATTGCATACATTCTTTTATCTATACGAAAGAAAAAGAAATCTTCAAGCCTTTTCATGATATTCTGATGCAGATAGAATATGTTGACTTTTTTTTCTTACATTATAATTCTTCAATTAGTATCTGACAAATATTCCTGATTCAAATACTTAGACTATTGGTTAACTACGAAGCTAGACTGGGTTAATGTTATCCCCGTAGATGTTTGGAAACTCTCCAGCAAATAGTACTGGTAAACTCAATCCTATAAAGTAGATCTTCCTCATTGAAGCTTTGACGTTTTGCCTTCTTTCACTTGGTTCCTAGTGCTTTTGCTAGGAGAATTTCTTCTAGGTTTCTGTCGATAATAGACAATTATCCGATGATGTATGATACATCTAGTGAGAACAATATTGCAAAGCATGAGCAAAATCACTTGACGATTATCTCCCACTAGAGCAAATGTTGCTGATCATCCATATATTTTTATGATAAGAAAATAGAATATGATTTTATTGTCAACACAGAAGAAATTTCCAATGTTGTGAGCTCTTTTTTTTTTTATTTTTTGTCATAGTTCATTCTTGTCAATCTATGTAACTGATATAACGGTTCTTTATGACTGCAATGGTCAGAAAGCAATATAAAGCTTTACAAGAAAGAAACAAAATCGTCATTTTCAGTTAATTACTTAATTTTGATTACGATTTTATCGTGATTAATGTGTACTGATAAGAAGATATAATCTTTTTTTCGAAAGGAACTATTGAGAATGAAAAATGTTAATAATCATATAAATTGCTCATAAGTTTTTTTTTTGTTTCAAACTTTGACCTATTATTACAAATATCACTCAATACTTTTTCATCATTATGAATATCATTTAACATGTAACACATTTTATTTGATTGATGCTTTTAAGTTCAATGTTGACGTTGGATAAGTTACCCAAAAAGAATGTCAATCAATATTTTTCTATTAAAGAATTAAATCTATTTGAAAACATGTTTTCTCCTTTACGATAACTAGTTATATAAATCCTAAACAGATTACTCATGAAGATAATTCACTGGAAATCTATAGGTAGATGTATTTCAATCATTGCATTATACTTAAGAATACATGTCAAAATATGAGTTCAAAAGCTGATTTTCTCATAAAGAATTAAATTCTATAAAACTTACAAAAATGTAATATTAAAATTGATATCTCATCAGGTGCTTATGGCTATATTCAAAAATTGCGAACAAAAAAATTAAGCCAATTAAGAAAAAAATATTCACAATTTAGAACACAGAAAATAACGTTGATCTTATTTTTATTGTATTTCCAAATTGCGAATACTTTTTATAATTAAATAATATAGTTTTAATTCTTTTTATTTGACAAGTCAATACGAATTTATCATTTGAATATATAATTTTCTTTTTTTTAAATATTTTTATTTATTTTCCTTTAATCATTATTCTCATTTATTATTATATATTCAAATGACAAAATTCGTGTTGACTTGTCAAATAAAAAGAAATAATATCATTCTTATTCCTCAAACTTCTATATTTATATTATTAATAAAATTGAACTCATAATCAGCTATTGCAATAACTAATTAATTAAAGTGTTCGTAATTTTGAAATGCAATAAAAATAAGATCAACGTTATTTTTTGTGTTCCAAATTGCGAATAATTTTTTCTTAATTTTTTTTTTATTCACAATTTGGAAACTACGAAAATTTCATAACAAAAGAAAACAAACGATCTTCACTATGTTGTCCTTCAGGATATATATTTATTATGTTTACTTTCTTATCAATCATCTCTCATTTAAAATGTATATCCAGAATGATTGATAGTAATCTGTTGTTTTTTTACTGTCAATCACTAAAATAACATTTAGAATATTAATGATGATGAGTGATTTTGAATATGTTATTTCATATTAATATTGATGATTTCTATTAAAAAAAAAAAATTTCATAGAGAAAATTCATTACATAGATTTATTTCTTTTTCTGTCTAAAAGAAAAAGAGTAATTAACGATAGAAAAGCAATGTCTTCTTGTTCATACGAATATGTTCTAACGGAATGACATCGTTCGTTTTCTTATATACACACACACGCACATTTCAAATTGTTTATGCAACGATTTATTCGTGTTCGTCCGATATTTTTCTCTTCTTTCCTAACATATCCTCGGTCAGGCAATCTAAACAAAAGATTAAAAAATATATTCGACAGCTTCATCTTTCTCTTACGATTTCTTCATTTCATATACATTCATAGAAAGAAAAGCAAGCTGCAGTTTAACACTTTATTTCTTTATCATATATTGTTTTGTATTTAAAAATGTCGAACTTTCAAAATAGTTTTTCTGACAATAATACACCCGATCAATTAATTCAAATATCAACATCTAATGATAATTCATGTCCACAAGCATTACTTCTTGATCAATTATATATGTATGATTTACCAACAGGATGGAATGCTATGGTATAAAAAAAAAAATATCCAATTTTTCTATCGAAATAAAAAGATTTGTCTTTTTGCTTTTAATTAGCTTGTTGGATTATTAGCTTCTATATTAACAATTATATTTCTGTTAACATGTCTTTATTATTTGATTTGTCGTCGTGAATATTCTAATGAATTATCGGATAGTCAAATACCAGTTGAACAAAATGGAACAACATCAATACCGATAACAAGTTTATCACAAACGGCAATGACAACATTTATTAATGAACCAGGTAAAGAAATAAAAATTATGACATATACTGAACAAACATCAACAACAACTACTGATTTTGTTGGTATTGGACATTCAAGTTCACCAAATAGAAATGCACTTTTAACGAATGTTAATGTTGATCCAAGTGAACTTCGTTTACTTCAACATGAACATAATTAAAAATACAAAAACAAAAGAAAAAGAAAACAAGGTTGTTTTTTTTGTTAACAAATTAATGATACATAAATAATCTTGTCTTATTTCTTTATGTATATATGTGTCTATATTCAGATATATGTGCTTATGTATTACTATGTTATTGTTGGAAATAAATATCTTGATTGAATAAAGTTGAATTTAGATATTATTGTTACAAAGAAAAGCTATTTAAAATAATGATCATATCTTAGTGTTTCAAAGTTTTGTGAAATAAATCTCTTCTTAATATTTACAATAGTTAAATTTAATAAACAGTTTGATAGTCTCAAGCCAATGTGTTAATAGTCAAACTCGTTATTTAGCTGATAGTAGTAGTAAAATTATATTAGTATAAATAGATTAAACGTTATAGATAGTGTAAAAATCAATAATTTCAAAGTTGTGAAGAGTTATGGGTCCCCTCGAATATCTGGAGAATGGCTAAAAAAAAAAAAATTTGAATTCTTCAGGGTAGATAAACATGGACATTTTTTTCTTTTTTTGTCCTTCGAATAAAAAAATCAAAATATCAAAGTTAATGAAAACTTATCTAAACATGAAGAAGAATCATATGATTATGTAATTGAATACATTGAGAGAAAAAATAAATTATCGAAAAGGTGAACCATGTACTATCGTGATGGAGAAAGCATTCATATATGTACTCAAAATAATGACATTTGCTATCAATGTGTAGAATTTGAGATGATCTCTTCTGTTTGTTGCTATTTATGGAAAAAAAATACACAGCAGACATTTTCACATACATTAAAGATTTAAAAATGTTACTGATTGTGAAAGTATCGGCGAAATTGTTGATCAGTTCGAGACCGGATGAAAGAAAAGTCACATCCGTACTGGACACTAGTGTATAGTATAAGTGAAAAGCGTTTCAACTCGATTAGACAGAAGAAATGAGAGTAAATAGATTTTTTTCATTAAAAAAAGTTAATTTGAGAAAAATTTGATTTGCTATTTCTTTTATGAAAATTTGAATTTTAAAGTTTAAAGACAAGTTTTGGATATTAATTCAAACGATATAATAACTATTAAAAAAAATCAAAACTTTTGAGTTACGAAAGAGTAGTAATACTTTTAAGTAATATTATTGACAAAAGTCTTTGGGAAATTGAAAAAATGACATTGAAGAATATCAATATTTCACAGCTAGCTAATATTTTTTTGAAAGAACAATACTCTTTAAATATTTGAAAGAATTTGAGTAAGTCGTTTTGATATAAAAAATACTGTGGAATAGAAAGAAAAGGTGTTTTTTCTTACATTTGATATTATCGTACTGGTCTAAAGTATACGATCAGCATATTATTAATTTTTTTTCTACGATACCAAACTATTAACTCAAATCTAAATAGCTAATGAAGTTCTCTATCAAATTTTATATATGGACTATAAGAGAAAGTTTTTCTTAAAAACTGAATACAGCAGTCTTCAGGTTCTAGAAGACTATGTGACAATTATTTTTTAAGAATATCATTCTAAAAGAGTACAAAATTTTGAATACAGTAGAAGGTTGTTGAATTTTCTAAGAATGCTATGATTTTGATAGAGAATTTCATTGACTATTCAAACCACTATTTGAAATGAAGTTAAATTCTTGTTACCGTAGAAAAAAAAAGTTAAAGATACGTTGATCATGTATAATTTACAAATTAGTACTGTATTTCAAATATGTGTTGCCTTTTGTGAGTGTGTTGTCAATATTAATGTATAATTACCTTGAAAAGATGCGTAAAATTGAAAAGCAATATCGTGTATATTTCATAGATTATAATATTATTATTAATATTATCTTTGACCTGATATATAATTAATATTAAGAACAAAAAAAACTAATCAAATTCAATTGTATCCGTATTAATATAAACAATAATTGTTTTATTTTTAATTTTATGAATTATGAATTCGAATTAAGATTTCTAGTACCTTTTCTTTGCTTTCTGTAGAATGGATCTTTTTGTTGTCACAATAAGGTTTTTTATTTTTTTTTTCTATTAGAAATTTTACCCATAAATTCATATAAAAAAAACGCATAAATGAGTAATATTATTTTTTTATTTTGAAGATGCAGTTCTATAAAACACAAAGAAAAAACTGTATTTTTTTCGTGAATTTTGAATTATAATTAAAATACACTTGATAATATTACTTTGTCAACATACTTCTCCTATAAACCTTCAAAGAATTTTTCTTCTTCCTATGTCAAGGGCGAGAAAATGTACTTAATTCTTTTTCTTTCCGAGCTGACTTCCTATCTCCTATTGGACCATTTTTCCAAGCTAGAGGGTATAAATTATTGTTTTCGACTCTATCTATTAATATACGCCAATATTGTTTAGTTAATGCATGATCGTAAGCATAGAAAATATATGACTGGAGAATCTAGAAGCTGATCGTTCTTTTTTTTTCTTTCTTGCCGTTATTGTTGTTGTTGTTAGTTTTTTTTTCTCCTTCCTATTGAGTTGCCTTGCATCACGTTCTGATTTGTGTATAAAGGTGTAAAATATAGTTTTTGCTTTACCTTTATATATTCTTTACTCATCGAGAATATTCTAGAATATTATTTGAATATATATATATAAGTATTGGCACGCTATTCATCTGCTATTCTAATTCAACGTTTGATTACAAATACATTTACTTCTCATTATGTCTCGTAGCACAGGTAGTAGAGGCGGTCAAGCAGTTGGTATTGATTTGGGAACTACTTATTCATGTGTTGGAGTATTTCAACATGGTAAAGTTGAAATCATTGCAAATGATCAAGGAAATCGAACAACACCATCTTATGTTGCATTCACCGATACAGAACGTTTAATTGGTGATGCTGCTAAAAATCAAACAGCGATGAATCCATCAAATACAGTATTTGATGCTAAACGTTTAATCGGACGTCGTTTTGATGAAGAAACTGTGCAAAAAGATATTAGATTATGGCCATTTAAAGTTATTAATGGTAAAGATCGAAAACCATTCATTGAAGTTGAATATAAAGGCGAAAGAAAAGTACGAAACTAAAAATTATTATTAGCTTTTTCTTTTTCATTAGAATTTATTTTCTTTTTAGCTTTTTTCACCAGAAGAAATTTCTTCAATGGTATTAACAAAAATGAAAGAAACAGCTGAAGCATTCTTAGGTACAACTGTTAGACAAGCTGTTGTTACTGTTCCTGCCTATTTTAACGATTCACAACGACAGGTAAGAAATAAAATAATAAAATAAAGGAATGTCAAAGATCAATAAAAAGAAATAGCAAAAAAAAAAGACATGCCTCTTTTTTTTCTCGTTCTATACAAAACATTCTTTCGAACCTTCGCGAATATGCTGTTCTCTTCCAGAATAGAATAGATAATGATTACTCATTGGGTATTTGCAATGATTCAATAGATAAATAAAATAAGATCTTAGTTAAAACAATCTAAAATTATGTTTGTTATTAAGAAACAACTTGAGATATGTTCATAGTTCTAGTACAGTCAACATACTCAAGGTTGTTTTTTTGCTTTTGTCAAGTGGATCAAAATGTTAGATTCTTTCTTTAATTTAACCTACGTAAATAAAAGCCTTCAATATTTTGATATTTACTTTATGTCTGAGTTCTTATAAAAATTAAAAACATCACTCGGTTTTTTTATCTGTTATGATAAGAGAGATATACAGGACTAATTTTAGCTGCGTTCCGTTCGCCGGGAGCACAAGAAAAAAATTGTCGAAGTCGTAATCACAAGAGAATAATTTATCAGGACCGCGATAGCAAAGAAAAAGTTGACTGGGAACAGGATATGAGAAAAAAAAATTATTGGAGTCGAGAACACAAGAAAATAATTTATCGGGACCGCGATGACAAAGAAAGAGTTCACTGGGAACAGAATATGAGAAAAAAAATTTCCAGAGTCGAAACATAACAAAAAAAGCTTGTCTCAACCGGAATAAAAAATTATAGCTAAATATTCTATGTTTTTAAGCGAATTATCTTATAAATCATACCAATCAGAACATCATTCAAGAGAGATGACACAAAAAATGCTAGTTGTTGACTAAATAAATCAAAAAATGAATATTAAAGAATTATTTTTAGGTTTGATACAAATAAATTCTGGAATAGTGTTCTCTAGACTAGAACTCAAACAGGAAGCTGCGCACAAAACAAAAATAAAAATCATCGATTTCGGGACAAAAAATTGATTCTGCGCATTTCTATCTAAAATGTTTTATTATTTTCAAAAAAACTTAATTTCTCTTATCTTTAGGCAACAAAAGATGCAGGCACTATTGCTGGTCTGGATGTTCTTCGTATTATAAATGAACCTACAGCTGCTGCACTTGCTTATGGTCTAGAGAAAAAACTTCATCGTGATCAAAATATTCTTATTTATGATCTTGGTGGCGGTACATTTGATGTATCTATTTTAACAATAAGTGGTGGTGATGTAGGTGGTTCAGTATTTGAAGTAAAATCTACTGGTAAATCAAAAGGAGAAAAAAAAGAAAACAAAATCAATCTATTGTTTGTCTTTTTTAGCTGGTGATACACATTTAGGTGGTGAAGATTTTGATAATCGTTTAGTTCAACATTTTGTTGAAGAATTTCGTCGTAAACATGGTAAAGATATATCAAAAAATCCAAAAGCTGTACGACGTTTACGAAGTGCATGTGAACGTGCTAAACGAACATTATCATCATCAACAACAGCTTCACTTGAAATTGATTCACTTTTTGAAGGAATTGATTTTAATACACAACTAAGTCGTGCTCGATTTGAAGAACTTAATATGGTAAAAATTAAAAACAAATATATATTTAAATTAAAACTTATATATATGATTTTTCTCATTGATAGGATTACTTTCGAGGTACACTAGGACCTGTTGAACGAGCTCTTAAAGATGCTAAATTACAAAAACGTGATATCGAAGAAGTTGTACTCGTTGGTGGTTCAACACGTATACCAAAAGTTCAACAATTATTATCGGAGTTTTTTAATGGAAAAAATTTAAATAAAAATATTAATCCCGATGAAGCTGTTGCTTATGGTGCTGCTGTACAAGCTGCCATTTTAACCGGTAAGAAAACAACATAAATTATTATCTGAATTCATTTATTTTATTATAATTATCATAATTTTTAGGTGATAAAAGCGAAATGATAAAGGATGTTTTACTTATTGATGTAACACCATTATCAATGGGTATTGAAACAGCTGGTGGTGTCATGACAAAACTCGTTGAACGAAATCAACGTATTCCATATAAAAAAACAGAAACATTTACAACTTATGCAGATAATCAAGTAAGAGAAAAAGAAATTTATATGCTAATCAATATAAATCGATAATTCTTTTTTTTCAGCCAGCAGTATCTATTCAAGTTTATGAAGGTGAACGTTCAATGACAAAAGATAATCATTTGTTAGGTCAATTTAATTTGGAAGGTATTCCTCCTGCTCCACGTGGTGTACCACAAATTGACGTTACTTTTGATTTGGATGTAAATGGTAAAATAATAATATTCATTACTTTACATTAATTTATTATTGATTTGTTTTTCTTCTTTTCTTGTTTCATAGGTATTCTTCAAGTTACTGCTGAAGATAAAAGTACAGGCCGAAATAAGAAAATTGAAATTAAAAATGATAAAGGACGTTTATCTCAAGCTGAAATTCAACGTATGGTAAATGATGCCGAAAAATATCGTGAAGATGATGAACAGGCACGAGAACGTGTTAATGCACGAAATCGTCTTGAAACATATGTATATTCATGTAAACAAGCTATAGAAAATTATAATGGTTCAGCTATAAGTTCTTCGGATAAATCGACTGTTTTGAATGCATGTGAAGAAACACAAAAATGGTTAGATAGAAATAGATTAGCTGAAAAAGATGAAATTGAACATCAATATAAAGCATTAGAAAAGAAATGTCAGAAAGTCATGACAAAAATGCATGGTGGTGGTGGTGGTAGTGGTGGACAACAATATGGTCGCAGTGGAAGTTATCATGATGGTGGTAATGACGGTTATTCAGGTCCACGTGTGGAAGAAGTCGATTAACCAAGACATTTTTTAGCCTAATCCTTGATTTATAACATTTGTAGAATTTTGGTGATCAGATTGTATTGCCATGATTTGACAGATGTATTTTTTTTTGTGAATACAATAAAGGTTTCATTTTTATTATCTTAATTATGATTTTTTTTCTGTATTGCTCGTCGGCTATATTCACTGCTTAGTATCTATTAGAAATATTTTAATTAAAAAATTGTCTCTACAAATTGAAGCAGGATGGACAGTATGTATGAGAAGCAGGACTCAAAATCGAGCCATTTTTTGATGGTCCGATCTAACTCAATTCAGCTAGGGATGACACTATTAAAAATATATTTCTTTTACAAAAAAGATGTCAGAGTTAAATAAAGTTGAATAACTTATTGAAAAGAAAGATCAAGATATATGTGCGTAGAGAAACTTCGACTTCTTGAAGATTATCATTTGTTACCATAAAGTTTCAAGAGTGAAATTCTCGCTAATCAAACTCAATGAGTCGGAGCGATTACTATTTTATAGTTACACTGCTTCACTCGAGGAACACTAGTGCCACTTAATCGTGTTGATAGTGCATTCGATCTTGTGTGTATGAATGAGAAATGTCATAGAACTGAATAAATGCTCTGCTTTTTATTTATTGATTAAGTGGACCTTTCAAAACATTCGCATAATCAAGATTCTTGATTGTTATCAGTTGTGAGATACAAAACTCATGTAAGAAATTTAGACGAAATTTCAGAATAACACTGATTGAAATCAGATTCCTTTTGTTTTATTACGTGGAAGATCATCTTTGAAAAAGAAATAATCTTCTCAGACCATATGGCTTATGTTGAGCTCTAATAAGAAGTGTTCAAAAATAAAAATAAACGCCTATTTTGTTGAATTTAGGTTGCATAATTCGTCAAGACATTTCTTCTTCTCTGTTCTGATCGGTTTAAGAATTTTTATTGATGAAATCGAAATTTGAAAACCTTGTTGAATCCGTAGCAAAATCCGAAAAATATGATTGTTGTTTTAATCTATTTTGAAAGTTATTCATTTTTGTTCTTGTGATTATTATTTCATGCTTAAATAAACATGAATTATGGATGTAAAAGATATGAAATGAAGATTGAATTTAGTAAAATAATGAAAAAAATTTAATTTATAATGAACGCACTTCTATAAACAATTTCAATTGAAATTTACAAAACTACGAACGGTTTAATGTTTAAAAAACAAAAAATGAGTAGATTATAATAAACGATCATTTGTGTTATGAGTTGTCGATGGATTTGAATTTGGTTTCTAATATTAGTTCTGATAGTTGCTGGATAAAGAATACGATTCTTTACGTTTTTTTTATGATATTGTGATAGTTTTGATTTCGAAAATTTTTTCTCTGAAATATTTTTTCTAAAACTTTGAAATTTACAACAATAAGTGCAAAATTTTATATAGAATATTCTAGAACATTTCAGATTTCGGCTGATTCATTTCTTAAAACGTTTTATAATTTTCTCACTGTTTTGACTTTCGTACCAATACAGTTCAATAGATGCTAATCGTTTTTAAGTTAAATCTAATGAAAGAAATACATTCGAACAATAAATTCAACAATTTTGTAACTGTATTCAATGATACCAAAACGAAAATTTAAAATAAATGCTAAACATTTTAAAAATACAAAAAAAAAACGTGAGTCATTTATAACGGAATGCTTGTTACGTCAAACATGAATCAAAATTACGCGTTGAATAACTTAAATTCTATTCGTTTACGTTAAAAGAATGATTATATATATATATATATATATATATGTGGAGAGCGCAACGCTAGTCGATTTGTTATTCATTCTTTACCATCGTCTTGTGTGCATCACAAGTAAAGTTTGTTAATCCCATAATACGATCATCTCGTCTGTTTTGTTCATTATTATCACACAATGAAATCTGTTGTTTTTTGTATTTTAAAATAATGGCAAATTCAGGTTCTAATTTATTATCATCAACTAATAAATGGCATTCAACAGCAACACATACTTCATCTTCAATCACAGCTACACATGGTTATCGTCATCGTCCATCGATTCCTTTATCAGATATTTCAGCAAATATGAATACAGCAGCAATGACAACTTTTTCAAGAAAATGTATTTATGTTAAAGAAGGTTAAATTATTTTTTAAATAAATAAAATATATTCTATATGTTATTTTTGTTTTTAGTTATTAGTGTTAATAATAGTGCAGCACATTTGCCATTGGTATCATCAGATAATAGTAGTGCAAGTGAATGTGAAAGTGGAGAATTAAGTTCAGATGAATATCCATCACAAATTAAACTTAAACCTAAATCAATTACTCATTGTCAAGAAAATCTATCAGATCCAACATATGAAATGGGCACTTTAGCACAATTACTTAATCATTCATTTTCTGGTCATAAAGATATATCGATGGCATCTCAAAAGTTCGTATATACATTTTTGATTTTATATGTTAAATTCAAATACAAAAATCATAGAGACTCCAAGAGGCATAGATTTTTCAGAAGTCAGGGCAAAAATTTAGACTGAGTACATTCTCAGTATGTGGCAGAAATAACCATAGGAATGTCAGAGAGTGTCTATCAATAACGTCTCGTTATAATATTTGAATTACGTCCTTGATGCATTTCTAGAGGATTAAGTAATAAAGATGATGAAGAAATGTGCCACAAAAAAAGATAGAATGAAACAACTCCCTGTGATTAGCAACAGCAGACGCAGGATGCTTCACATTTTAATCACATAGGCATTGTGCTAACAGCTTTTATTTATCAGAAAATCATAGGAATTTAAGAGTTTGAAAAATCTGAAAATAATGTTAACCTCATTCTTAATGTTTTTAGCTCAAATCTTTAAAAACGACGTATATTTTGATGTAAATATACCAATTGAAGTTCTTATTGTTCGAGAAATTAATTAATTAATTAAGAAGGTTTTCTGTTATGTATAATGCATCATTTCTCAAAGGAGTTTTTGTGGTCATTCTATAATCTGAAATAGTATCTTATTCAAAAGACAAAAATTACAAAAGATTTCCATCTCAAACATTATTTAGTGTCTGAAAAAAACTTCAGCTCGATAGAACATATTTTGCTCTAGTCGTCAAGATCTACTTGCTCTGAAAATTTCAATATTTTCTGATGAACCATGTTCCAGACACACCAGAAATGTATTTAAAAAAATACATAATGCATTGCATTTTCGTGATTCTATCTATCTTAATCTTTCATGAGTTGTTGATAATATGTATGTCAACGTCAGTAGAAGGGACAGTAACTTTGCTCTCTACATCAACACTTTCTGTAGTTCATATTTTAGAATGGTTTTCATTCATTACATTGTAGACATGAATCAGATATTCATCGTCATGTAGTACCTGATAATCGAATGCGTTCATCATCGTCATCATCAACACCTCGAATTGAAGCTCCATTAAAAGCTCGTCGTTTATCAGAACATTTATCAACAACGATTGAACGACAAAAAACACGTAGTGAACAACGAAATAATGCATATATACAATTAAAACATATAGCTCAACGACGTTTAAATGTTGTTGCAGAACTTGTTACATTAGATGAACAATATGAAGCAACACTTGCCAAATTATTACTTCCAGGCAATCATTAAGCATGCCTTTTTAGTTAAGAATTGTGTTGTACTATCATTCATACAAATGTATATAGATAAATTATTATTAATTAGATTTGTTTGATTGAATAAAGAAAGTCTAATATTTGAAAAAGACTTCTGATTTTGTTTATCTATGAATCTTAGAATTGTTTCTTCTTTGATATTATCATTTAAAAGAAACGAACAAGATTCTTTGTATTGTATTTGATTCAATTTTATCTGCTGCTGCAGCTATTACTTCATCAAAAATATTTAATACATTATTGACAAAAACTTTTATTGAATTTCTGTAAAATCAAAATTCGAATGTTTTGACACACACAAAAACGTTAAAAATATTGAATAATAATCATAAAGATAACACCGACGTCAGAATTAAATAAAAAGTTACTATTCGAAACCAAACTTAAGTTTTTTTTCTCAAAATACTGAAGTAATGTCATTTAATGTTGGAAAATCATCATTTTTATCGATGAGTTGTTCGGTTCTTTTTGGTTTTTTTCCACGAAATGATTGAAGATATTCAACTGATTGCAGACGATTACGAAGAAAATTATAAATATCAAGTAAACAATACGCATCAGTTGCTAGAATAAAAAATCAAAATAAAAACATAGAATAAAGAAAAGCAAATTTCTATACCTGCGTAAAGTGTTTGAGCATGTCTCAATGGTCGTCGATCCCAATTAGAACATCGCTCTGATTTATTTAATGTTTTACCAAAACATAAACGAACTAACTCACTAAGACCTTTATCTTTTGATATTGCTTTATTTTCCAACTTAGAATACGGAAATATATCTTGTCGACTATTCATCAACTATCATTAAGAAAACAAATTATAAAATTTAAAAAAAAAAGTTTCTTCTAATATTTACATCTGTTTGTACAAGAGATAAATCTAATAAAGTCTTTCCAGAAAGGAGTGCTTGTTCAAAAATCGGATAAGAAGCAGTAAGCATAGACGCATCAGCTTGAAAACCATAACCTAAATATAATTTTTCTAGAATTATTCTTTAATAAATATTTCAAACTTACAAAGTATTGTAACGTGATCATCATCAAACAATCGATTCGCTAAACGTTGTTGAATTGTTTGAGAATCACATGTATGAAAAAAATTAAGTACATCAAGTAAAAATATTTGATTTGAAAATGCTATTTGTATAATACTAAGACGTTGTTTAGATGTTGATGTATTATTAAATATTGGTTTCCATTCACCTGAAAAATAAAACAAGATTATTATAATGATATAAATCGATGCACGAATTAACGGTGAGTAAAAGTTTTCGATACTGTTTTCTGTTTTTTTAAAAATTTTCTTAGTGCCGAGAAATTTTGAAACAATACTAGACAAAAATATTCCTGAAAACTGATCCTAATGTTTTCAGAATCTATTTACGGAAACGGTGGCAACTCAGAAGAATATCCCTTCAAGTGTCAAATAGCTTTTCAACCGAAACAGTGTTAATGTTACTAGATTTTTCGTCTCCTTCAGATGACGTAGGAAATCGATTTTCTACTTAAAACTTCACATGAACAAAGTTCTCAATGAGATTAGTTCATTGGATAAATTGTACCTCTTCTTGTATTCCTTATCATAAAACGTTCAATAATCGAAATTCTCTTATGTGTGAAAGCAAGTTTTTTTTTATCTCTAGAAAAGAAATAATAGAAAAACTACATGTTTCACAATCAACTAATTTGATTAAGAACTTTATTCATGCAGAGTTTGAAGTCGAAAGTCAATTTTGCATATGACCGGTAGGAGGGAGCGTCACAGCTTTTTATGGAAAAGCCTAGTAAATTTTCGATATTCCGAGAACGAAGACAGAGAAAATCAAACCGTTCTAAGATTTCCTATTGCTTAGTCGAAAAGAGATTTGACACCTGAAGAAGTTCTCTGTTAGCTCATCGGCTTATACCTCTAATTATTGACACTAACAAAGATCTAGTTTATTTATTTATATGAATAAAAGGATCTAGAGATCACTAAATTTTTTTTTAGAGTAAAATGAAATGTTTCATTTCATTGTAAAATAATAGAAAGTTTCAAGGTAATCTCCTATTCAAACGAAATATTAACTTGGATACGACCATCTTTAGGATTAGTAATTGTGATTAACCTAAAATTTCTGCGAGGCGCAAATCATACAACACCTTAGGATTTTATCATAAATGTATAAAGTTATAGATGAGAGTGAACTACATTTATCTAAATTTCTCTAATTATCGTATCATTTTCAATTTTTAGGATGCTTACAATCATATATCATTCACCAAACTTTAAAAGTAGTTTAAATTGCTTCATCATGACAAGTACAGATTTATATGCTTAACAGATGCCTCAATCATCTCTACTAGTCTTCAATTAAACATTCCGAAAAAAAGTTAATAGGTTTTTTTTTAAGATTCGTCTGAATCGAATTGATCGCATCAGCGTTAAGAAGAATAACATCCTTGTTTTTCAGCTACCTTGCAGTATAGGGTGAGTAGATAAGCGCGCGCAACAACACAGTCACTCAGTCATGACGACTTCGCATCAAGGGTAAAGATATGTGTTACTGAGAAAAATATTATCTCTTCAGTAATTTATAACAATCAGATGTGATTTTAAAACTTCCAGACACTAGATATGTGACATAAAGAAGCTCAAATCTATATTTGATTGTTTAGATTAGATAAGAATTGTTTTTATTTTGAAAAAAAAAAACAAAACTTCATTACCAAGAATAAGCTTTTATCTTTGTGTCATTCTGTTAGAAAGACTAGTTTATACTAGTAGGAATTAATTAAATGGATTTATGAAAAAAGAAACGAGTACAATTAATTTGGTTAAGAATATCTTCCTAAACCTTTTGTACATTACTCAAGAAAAAAATAATTGTAAACGAATCGAATATATTAACATCCATAATAATCAAAACTACGTTAACAACACTGACATAAGAGTAAAATTTGATTAGCTAAATATATATAAGTTGAAATCAAGATAAAATATAAACTCAAATCACATTATTTCTCTGTTAAAGAAATATTTTACATTCTTCTTCGATTGAGCATTTTCATTAACAGAGGAAAAAAATTAAACACATGACAAATTCTAGTCAGAATTATTCAATAAAATAACATACAATCAAATCCAAGTAATAATTCTTCTTCTGCATTATTAGCATTAAATAAACGATCAAGTAAATGTTCATATCCAGACATTGAATCGATAAAAATTATTTGTACATCTTCTAATGGTATTGTGTGATATTCAATGGTTGCATTTTGTGTTAGATTTTGATTGCGTGTTACTGTTGAAGAACGATTATTTTGTTTCGTACGGATATATCTTTGTATCTTTTCAAAATAAAGAAAAAGAAATAAATAATCTTGATAAAAAGACCGATGGTGTGATCTAGAAGTTTGTTGTAATCTATTACTGTTATACGATTTCATTGAATAATCTAAGTTGATTATTATAATGTATGTCAAGTCGAATGTGACTTATTATAATTATTAAATGTTTATTCTGATAATGTTTTGAAAATTTGAATTTTTCAAATGCATTCATTACAAAAGAATATTTTATGATTTTCTTCTTGAAATCTTTTAGTTGTTAACCGTTAAAAATTTTTCAAGCTATCCAAGTACTTTTAAAGTCTATTAAAAGCTTTTTTTCACAAAAGGTCACAAGATTTATATATGACCGTATTTATATAAGTATTTATGAAAAATTAATTTTATGTATAGTTGACGAAAATTCTCGTTTTGTCATATTCCTTTTTCAATATTTCTTTAACGAACTGTACTCTTTTTTTAATCTAAGTTCTGAACAAATCGAATTTTCATATTAAATGGAGTTCAGCAGCTATTATAAATTATATAAGTAGAATCTAACTACAAAATCTTACATACCCATTGAGATAACGTACGTTCTGGTCGATTCAATTGAGTCACTAAATCAAAAAAATTTCATAAATCAAAGCAATACGATCTATTTCTTACTCCAATATCTAACAGCAACAATATCATCTTTATCAACAAGTAACTCAATGAAATATTCGGATAAACTTGCATTCCCTTGTATCATTTCCTTGCATAAAACAAGAAAAAGAAAACAATATAAGAATTTTGATTTTTCCTTACTTCAATTAATTCATTCCATGCTTCATCACTCATTGTTTTTTCATCATTATTTTCACAATATTTAACATTAATTAAATAACTTAGTGTTCTTCTATGTTGTAGTGTAGCTAAATTCGGATATTTTTCTATTTGTTCATTTCCAAATGCATTCCAATAGCGCACAGCTAATTTACCTAGAGCTTTTTTATTAAAATTTGGATTTATTATGTTGAATTCATTTGATAAAATTTCTCGAAGTCTTTTTCCACCGTTTTCATATAAATAATTTAACAAATCTAATACATATTCTTCTAATTGACGATTTTTATCAATGTAAACATGAATAAGGTGATCTTTTGTGTCAAGTATTAATGGTAATAAAATTTCATTCGGAGAAAATTCTAATTGATAATGGAATTTTACAATAATATTTAATGCATGTTTATATGAAGGTGAATTTATTGGATCATATAATGAAGTTCTTAATAAAAATATTAAGTGTTCTTTTGAAATTTGAAATATTTCACAAAAATCTTTTAAAAATTTTATTGGTAATTTTTTTAAAATTAAATCATTCATTAAATTTTCATCAAGATAAGGAATTTGAAGATTTTTATTTAATTGATTTTTCCATTGAAGAAATGACTCAATGAGACAATTTATTAAATTTGCATTATTCTGATTTGATTCAGATAATATTAAAAGATATTCAAATAAATCATTATACGGTTGATCGGAATGATTGAAATGATTAAAAGCTATATCAAGAGCTTCTTTATCATTATGAAAATGTAAATTTTGTGATAGATTTGTTAATAGTGATGACATTTGTTCAAATAAATAAGTCAAAAAAAAAAAAACTAAATTAATCTTAGTTG